TAAACTCTTTTACTACTTTTTTATATAACATATGTAAATATGTATGTTTATATATAATATTTGCTTTTTTTAGTTTACTAAAAATATCCCAGTTACTTTATTTATATTTCACTTTATACTTTGTATCGTGGCAGTTATTATATTATATTTGCAGCCACAACAACTGTGCGAATTTGCAAATTCCTTTGACGACAGCTAACCATCGTGTCACAATTTGGCGCCACACAACAGACACGGCATGGCACGACCACTGTGAACTTGAGCAAATTCAACGCTCAAACCGTTGACACAACGGGGTATTGATTAATCTTTTCCACAGCTGAAGAAGTTGTGTTTGAAGTTTGACAAAAATATTGCTGTCAAATTTGGCGAAATAAAATTATTTATGGAAGACAATACAGCAGGCTTATATGAGTTTCATATCAAAGTTCACAAATACTCTGCTGCCGTGGCATACTCTTGGCAACGGATTGTGATGTTTAAGCGCAATAAAAATTATCCGGTAATAATAAACAGTATGAAGTTTGGTACCATGACCACGATAATCGGCTCTTCGTAAACGAAAAAGATTCAGGTTTATCTCAAGTCAAGCCAAACCATCTCGAGAGGGTGAAATGTCTCTAACACTGAATGCTGAATTGCCATTCGATTTCTCAAGGTCCATTACCATAAATATCCAAGTTAAGAAAATATGTTCAACAATCAAACTGAGTCGAAAGAAGAAAGAAAAATATTTACAATATTAGAGGATACAAAGGGATTATCTAATATTTGGATTATTTTCTCGACTAAGATGAAGTATAAATGTCAATAACAAAAAAGATGAGCTCAAAGCTAAACGCTAAGCGAAGAGATAACCTTTCAATTTTTATTATATATACAATTTTGGCGTACGCTTTTGACAGTTTAGATGGAATTTCACTACTATTGTATTCATAGAATATACTTCAGGTTAAAAAGTAAGGATGCTACAAATTAAAAACCGTTTCCGAGAGGCTTTATCCTATCAGAAACGCACTGATCGGTAAATAGTTTTCCGCTTAGAGGCGCTCGCGTTTGGACCTAACATATTTAATTTCACTCAGAAACTGTAGCCGGTCACAGGCCGTTCGTAGCGGTAGTTCAAAACTTGTAACTTGGATGCAAAATAGGCTTATACGAAAGTGGTGCGATAAGTACTTAGACTCACTGTCCCATGACAAAAAAAAAGAAGAAAAAAAACAACAAAAAACAATAAATGGATTCGTGTTTTCTTTTTTGAAGGAAAATCTGGCAGTAAAATCAACCAGAGCGGTACATCGATTATCTGGGGAGGAGCAAAAGGGTCACAGGAATCTATTCTACCAAACTATTAGGCTTTCGACACCAAATTTTAGAAAAATTTACCCCATTTGTTGAAGAAAAAAGTACTCTTCCACCATGACAATGCACCAGCTCACATATCCGTCGTCATCTAGATTTACTACTTACTGGTACACTCTCGTATATAGAGATGATATTCATGGGTTATGGTGTGATTGAGTTCTACCCTAAATGATCTTCAGTATGGATCAAATATTGAAAGATATGAATTATGTTATAATTTCTTTCTTCTGTATGGAGGAATAGGAGTGCTTTAATTATTTATATAATGAGCCGACTTTATCCCAATTCAGTTACAAATAATTGAATCATAAGTAATTACAGCTTATAAGTTTGACAGTTGATGTTATCAAGTAAACAACGTCGTTCGTCTAACACAATCCGAAGGTGCACTAGAGTAGGGTTTTGATATTATCGCTAAGTGTGTAAAGTCTAAATATCTAAAATTGACCACGATGTTGTTAAAGGCATACATGACAGTGTGAAACCTCATTATAACAGTAAAGTATAGAGCAGGTAGGGTTTGAAGAACCTTTGGAATAGTAGAGTAGCTACTTTAGGTATATCAGAAGAACATTTCCTACTGATATTTTAGTTATCATAAGACACTAGCTATAAAGTTCAGACCTTCTTAGTTTTTCATTTTAGATACGAGCTATCTTTACGAAATTTATCATAGATTATTACACACAAATTGTTGAGATCGGATTACTAAAGCATGTAGCTGCCATACAAACTGATCGATCAAAATAAATTTTTGGTATGGAAAACTTTTTTATTTGACGAGCTATCTTCACGAAATTCGGCACAGATTTTTGCTCAAGGCAACGCTACGCTACTTTTGGATTATATTATTCAAATCAGACCACTATAGCATATAGCAGCTAAACATATTGACCGATTAACGTATTTTAAACCTTTTCATGCCTTAAAAATTTAACTTGTGAAGGGTATAATATTCTCGGTGTAGCCTTTATTTAGATTTGAAAAATGTTATCTAATAACTGCGATGCCTAATAAGCTTTAAAGTCTTACGTAAGTCGTTGACTACACACCCTAATGTAACGTAATGTAACTCACACGGTTTTAAGTATGCAAAAGTTCCAAACAAATTTCTGAACATTCTCACATATCACTCCTGACCCTTTTTATCCTCTCACGCGCTCCCTCTTCTATGCGTTGCAATAAGCACATTCATACCTATATATAGGTATGCATATCGTCGCGCAACGATCAGCGCGGCCTTTTCACCTGGCCTGCGCGCACCTGACACAGCTAAGTAAGAAACAACAACAACAACATAGCATTTGCACCCCTATAGCCAATGTTCATAAATGTATATGAGTGCCCTGATGGGTTTATTTTTACATTGCTGCGTAAGCTTCGCAGCTGATGATGGTAATTCCAGCAATTACGCCACCACTACCATTCAACAACAACAACAGCAGCAACAACAGCACGGTGGCAGTGTTGGTATAATTGGCTGCGCTGGCACTATCAGTGCAACTATTATTTACCACCACCACCAATGCTGGCGCTATCACGAACAACAGCAGCAGCAACAACAACAAACACAACAATAACAACAACAGCTAATGCAGCATTCTCAGCAGGATTGCATGTTGTCACTCGCTCATGCCACATGCCGCATGCCACATTGGCATACGTTTTCTTAACCAATATTTGTGCGATTGTTGGCGCAACCTTTGATCAAATAAATGGTAAATATGCATACAAATATATGAATATATATATATATGTGTGTTTGTATGCATGCATGTGCATATGTATATTTATCTGTTTGTGTGCGTTATTTGTATACCAATGCGTTCAACGCCCGCGTATTTTCAACAATTTATTTATTTTCGCTTGTGTATGTGTGTCATCGTATACTTGTGTTGGTGCAACCCCCCCACTTGCTGACCGCTAACGCTTTGTTAGCAGTTACCTTATAATGCTATTGGCTTCTTCTTCGTTTTCTACTTCTTTTTAGTCATTCCAACAACAACAGCGGTAAACTGAATTTACATATAGAGGCACATACTCATATGTTTAATACATACATACATATGTATACATATTTTTGTAGTCGCCTTTAAAGTGTTGGTTCGTTGATAATGGCAAGGGATAGTGCGCACACTGTTTGTTTTTTGTTCTTTTTTTTAATTTTTTTTTTACTGTTTTACTCCCAATTGTTTTTACGATTTGGTTGCTGTTTTTTTTTTTTCATTTTCATTTTTATTTTCTTTGTAATTTTGCGCTTTTTATTCAAGTTTTTGTGCTAGCAAATAAAAATTCAGTTAGTCACTCGTCGTCAAGGATACGGTGCGTTTCGTTCCGTCGTCGTTTATCGTATTTGTCGTTAGCGCCAGCACTTTGCGCTATAATTTCGTGCTGTTGTTGCTCTTGTTTTTGCGCATTTATTCGACTTTAGTTTTTCGCTTGTATGTGAAATATTCGATTTTTCGTTTGCAAGTTGGGAAATTAGTTAGGCGCCACCAATCCGACACGCAGTCATTATTAACTTCGCGTAGTCTTAGTTACCGAAAAGCCAAATCAAAACGGACCACATGCATACACATACAAAATACTACCAACTACACAAATTACCGTTACACGAAAAAAAAACAGAACACAAAAAATAGTAAAAAGCGAAAAAATTTGTATTACAGTTATAAGCGGCCAAAATGTAGAAACATGTCGTTACCTTAACATTAATATACCTATATATGCATACATATTTACCGTTATATATGAAACGGCTTGCGGCTACCTTAGTAACGGATGTAATAGTAGCAGCGATAAGCACGATGCCACACCCACTCATACGTCATTGCCGTTAGCGCTACTCTAAACGCGCAGTACGAATATGGCGGCAATAAGAAAATCGAGAGAAAAATTCAAAATTTCAACGATCCTGTACAGGTGCGGTAGACAGCGCAGGCTAAAAGTAAGTCACAAGCCAATAGCAGCAAATCTAGCATTGCACACAGCCACACAAATACATATATATTATATATTACATACATACATATATACATATATTATATACACATGCATACCGCCATGCATTTTACTCCAGCTTAAAGCGAACGTTAGAAATTTTTTCGTTTCGCCTCCACGACGTCAACGGAAATTACACACACAACATTAGCGAACTGCTGTAATAATAATAACAACAACAAAACTATTATAACACAACAAAAATTTCCAGCTTTATATGATTTTTTATTTGACTGCCTTTATTTTATATTTTTTTTTTGTGTTTTTTGCTTACCTTTACACCTTGCATACTCGCCTGACTGCCTGACTGCCTGCCTTCTAGCGCTAACGTTCGTCCGCTTCCGGTTAGCGGCTCAAATTCTGTTCCGATTCCTGCTACAATTACAAATATACACATATGTATATAGCAGCAGCGTTTCATTACCACCGCGTTCCGTACTTGTCTAATTGGCTCACGCAGCGCACATACTCATTCAAGCAACAAAAATACAGAAGTAAGCAATAAAGCAGCAGCGCGACAGCAAAGGAAACGAAAAATCCTCCCTCGTTCGCGCTGCAGTCACAGTTCTATCAGTTAGCCAGCGAGCAAACCGGCCTAGCCTAGCCTAGCCGGGTCATGCATTTCGAGTTCGTATAGTCAGTTTAACGCATACGCTCGCAGGGCTAACATGTAGTCCTGCGCCTACAACGCATCGTACAGGATCAACAGTTTTCTTTTAAGTTTTGTTTCTTTTCGCTGTGCAGTTTTATATCAAATTATTTATTATTTTGTGGTATAAGTAGTGCATATTATTTGTGAAGAAGAAGAAGTGTGTAATACAAGTCGGAAAGCAAGTTCTTTTTTATCCATTTGTTTTTAAAGACGGCACAATTTTTAAATTCATACATTATATAATAAAAAAGCTGTCGTCGCGTACATTTTTGGGTTGATATTATTTTTGGGTAAGTTTTGAGTGATAAAAAATAATATAATGAGGTTAAAATATTACATTCTTTAAATTTTTTTCAGTTTTTAATACATATTTTTGTTATTAAAAATTCCAAATACTAACAATCTTTTTTAATTAATGCTCAGAAAAATTGTTAAAACAAATATTAAATCAAAAAATTACGTTGCGCCTTTTCCAGAACGATCAAATTAATTCACAGTCGCGGTAGATAGACGGTTGTTGTGGGAAAAATAATTGTTTCAAAAGCACTGTTTTTATAAAAATAAAAAATTCAAAAAATTTTAATAACATTTTTCTTTAACTATAAATTTTCAAATAAGTTATATAAACAAATATTATATATGTACAATATAACCATTTCCTTGCCTTAAATTATGTGCCGCTGTGATAGAATATATTTTCAGATTACAATCTCAATAATAGTAAATTTATTGTTGACAAGTAGTAAAATTATAAAAAAAAATTTTTTCAAATTTTTTTTCAATATTTTTATTTTTTTCATACAAAATATTTTACAAAAATGTTTCACTATTTTTATATTATCCTGAATAGATTTAAAATAAAATTGTCTGTATGGAAACATTTAAAAAAAATGTAAAACAATTTTTATGCAAGCTTAATGGAAATTATTCAGACATGGCAGTGTGAGCTATAATCGGTAATACTAATATATTAAATTGTAATAAAATAAAATATTTATAAAAATCTAAGCAACTGAATTTTGTTTATAAAAAATTGTTAAGTTTCTAGTTAGAAAATATGGTTTTAACTTTTGTTTTACCAAATACATTATTATTCTTAAATGGTTTTAAAATATTTTTTTTTTTTTTGAATTTTTATTTGAACATATTTTCTGAAAATATTTTTGTTTTTATGTTAGTAACACTGACAAAATTTTTCACAAAATATACGCAAACGAATTATAATATTTTTCGCATATCAATTGCAGTAAAATTATTGTTAATTAAAATTATTAATTTTTAATTTAGAAAATAATAGTTTTCTAAAAATTTAATTTTTTTAATAGTTTTAAAAATATTTTTTTTAATAAATATTTCGGAGCAACAACATAAATTCAAGATGAATTAAGTGATATTGAAAATGACCCCTTTTATGCTCGAAAAAAATAATCAATTTCTAGATTCTTTTTTTTAGATTTTCTTACCAACAAATATTTTTTCGCTCGAATAATCACAAATAGTACTTTTTGTTAATAATATTGCAATATATACTTCTGCATAAATACCTCCTGCTTATTTTACGTTTTTTCATTAAAAATCGCATGCTAATTCTTGGCACTGGGAGAATTCACAGTTGGCTTTGATATTACTCTGTGGTTCTTTGGGTGCCAAAGCTTAGTGTGTTGATCATGCTACAAATAAATATGACTTTTCTTGGCTCATTACTGTGTATAAAATTAGAGACAGCGTTTATTTTTATATTGCTATATTAAAAGAAGACTCTGAAGTATCTTAATTTGTATATTAAGCTAAAGTTAAATGAAGTTAAGAGTTTAATTTAGCTTGAAAACATAAGTCAAACAATAGAGTCGCAACTAAGCCAAACATGTTGTGGAGCTTAAACAAACTATTATTGTCTGATCTGACTCAATTATTTATTATTTAGCGCAAGTTTAGACGTTAATTTTCTTGTGGTTTTGATAAACAAGATTTCAAATCCAATTTTCGAAAGTTCAAGTTTCGCTTTAAATATTTGCAGGACTATATAATTTTCACTCTTGATGTTGATTTTTCTAAACTTAAACCAACTATATGCCATCTTTTTGCAGATATAGCAAGCAATTCCAGCAAAAAGTAGGCATTATTTGGTAGTCTGTCTTTATAAAAAGTATTCTTGTCTCTTCTATATCTCTTTTTACGCTTCAATTCCACAAAGTGCTCTCTCGGTATATTAAGGTTAGCCCTATTGCATATATTTAGGTAGGCACCGGCTTTTTTTTACAACTAATAAAATTAACTTTACATTCCAAAAATATACTAATTCTATCATCTAAGCCTTTAATCCTAGTACAATTTTTTATACCAGAGAGCTTTTCCCATTTCATTAGCTTAGTTTGAATTTCTCAATCCAGAAACTCTTTAAAGCAAATAGCTCAAAATATTAAACAAAAATGTAAATGTATACTTTATATATTTTTTAATTCGAATCGCTCTCATTTTCAACGAATTCTTAGTATTTACATTTAGACATGCATACATCAGTTTAATCATAAAAGCGATGATTCAGCCAGAGGCAATTTTTATTGTTAGACAACACGCGATATAATAGCAACTTTGTGAATAACACGATTGACAGTTGGATCGACTTCGATTGTTAGTAATTAAATACACTTTTGCAGGTATAATTTATTGATTTGAAAATGTCTTTATTTATTTTTCACACATACATCACAATTATGGAACTTTCTATAAATATTCGGCGGGTTTAACAGATACTTATATATGACAATAGGGTTAGTCGCAAACTCAAATTGAAATAATTAATATGAATTATAGACTGAAAACCTTTTTTTTACAATTTAGAATCAAAAAATTTAACGTTTTATGTACATATGTAAAAGTATATATTAAGCTCTAATTTGCTATATTTGAATTTGATATTTTTCTTCCAATTGCACTTACCTATTATTTTTTACTACCAATTACTTAACCCTAATAACCACTTGCATAGAATTGTCTCGAGCATTAACCGCAATCTATTTACACAAATAAACATATATGTATATAGATATATAACCACACATGTATATGGTATATGTTAGGACATTGCTGACATAGTAGCGCCCGCGACCATTCTTACACTGAACTCAGCAGATTTGCATATTAAATCAGCTTTGAAATGTAATTACATAACTATAATTTATATGAATGAATGTCAATTGACGAAGCGATTACATATTGCCAGTAAATCACTCAAAATATACACAATAAACGCATTAATTTCGCTGGGAAATTAGCACTGTTCACTTGTAATTATATTTCAATACTCTTATGAGTATTTTTTTGTGTTGAATTGCAAAGTTAATTAAAATTTTTCATAGTTTTGTGTTTATGAACAAATGTGTAGAGTTTATCATAGAGTGTTTCACACAGTGTTTACTTCGACAAGTCTTAATGAGTACAACATATTTATACGATAATTAGCTATCACGCCAGTCAGCTATAAGAACTTTTGAAAATCCAAATTAAAGTTAAATCTAGTCCTTAAAAGTTATCGCTTACCAGGATACGTTTTAAAGCCATAGGAACATTGTCATTCCAAAATAAGCAAGCTTAAAAAAAGTCAAGAAACACTACACTTCAAGTTATGACTTAATTGTTGAAAAAAAATACATTTACAGAATTTACCTGAAAAATGTAGCTAAATAGGTCGTTTGGAAATTTCAAGTCGATCGGTCTAGCCGTTTTGGAGAAACGACTTTGAATACGGCGTTCCGAGTAAAACATGTTTAAACGTTTGATAGCCGAATACACTAAGTTGAAAAGCTCTTAGAAAAATGTACCTATGCCCGAAACTATTTGAGGTAACAACTTCAAGCATTCGGAAAATCTTTTCCAGTATATGTACATTCTGGATGTAAGAAAAATCGATTCACAAATAGATATAACCCCTTAAGACCACTAACTGCCGAGAGATGGTGTTCGCATTCGATTTGTTGCCGCAGCGACATTTAGCGTTATAACAAAGTATACATAATTTTAGAAAACACATTTTGTTACCAGTGAATGCTGTTTAGTAGATAATTTCGAAAAATTTCTCGCTTTAATTCTTCAGCCTCTCGTGAGTGATCTAGAACTTTTATGAAAAATCGCTTGCGGGTAATATTAGGACTTACAAAGAAGAGTGGAAGAGTCGTATAATATCTTTTCACCACAGCGACATCTAGAGTTATAACACGTTATCTAGAATTTGAGAAAACATTTTTTTTTACCAGTAACTGTTGTTTGGTAGATTATTTCAGAAAATGTCTCACTTAAATTCTTCAGCCTCTTGAGAGTCATCTAGAACTTTTATGTACAATACCTTGTCGGATAATATTTGGACTTACAAAAGATAGTGAAAGTTCGGTCAAATATATTTACGCGCTTCATTTTTCTTCTGCTTCCACAAACATTAAACTTTTTAGCTGTAAAAGCTAAGATCGCTACTTTTTTGACAAGTATCATTGTGCTGATCTCGATCGTTAATATGAAGAAATTGTAAATATCGATTGTGACTTTTTTGCGCCAAGATTTGGCTGAAGAACATATGGTTCCAGTTTATCAATCAGATTCGGGGGGATTATCGCGTTTATTAAATATTTATACCAATGTTATTAAAAACTGAACTTAGGACTACATGAAAGAGAGTAAGGATGTTAGGTTCTATGGGCCTCACTCACAGCTTCAGCATTGAAAAAATTTATTTTCAATATTAGAAATTGAATACCACTTAACTAAAGGTAACTTAAAATTCTCCAAACACGAATTTCACCACAGCAACTACAATTACGCCATAACATTATCCTATACTTTCCTATTTTTTAAGTGCCCCTGTATTAACGTCGTAATTTTGGTGTTGTTTCTCTCAGCTTTGGTTTTTTTTTTTTTGTTTTGTCTGAAAAACTACCCGAACATTTTCGTTTAAAGCACTTTGATTACATGCATATAATATACAAATACGCGCATGCAATGAAGTGTAGTTGGTAAATGCAAAATAGGCACCAAACATATGAAAATATGTTTTACGGGCTCCGGTACGTACAAGTCACGGAAATTCCGTGCATGGCATATTTGCACGTCAGCACAGGTGAACGCGTTTAGGCGGCAACTGCTTTTCAGCTACCGAATATATACCATACCCTGACATCAGAGCACCTTTCTGCGCCTTGCTATGGCTGAGGGTAGCTGCATACGATTTCAAACCAACAAATTCACTCAATACAAAAACATAAATAAATGTATACAGTTATATATATGAATACATATGTAAATTGGTATGCACTAACGGTGGCATTAGTATGAGGTGGCTTTAATGTGCAGGGATAATTTATTTTATCGCTTGCAACAAATCTAAATTGATCGTTAGGCTACCAAAGCGACGTCAAATGCCAACGCCACTGCAACCAGCCACCACCGCATATTCTATATTTTATAAGCCGTTACCGTTATACTGATGTAACGCAGGCACATTGTATACAATTCGTGTAACAAAACGAATTTGTAACAATAATTGTGTAAGTTTTCCATTTATAATGCTTTGTTGTGGTTTTCGATTATTTACGTTACTTTGTTTTCCAAGAAAAGCTTTCATCAATTCTATGACAAGCTTATTAAATTTATAGAAAGAGAATGCGAAAAAATAAACCGATTTGTACGTTTTGATGGTTAGTGAATGTAGTATGTGCTAATATATGTAAAATGGCATATGCTGTAACAAATCAGAAGTGTTTCGATTTATATCATAACCTAATGGAGCTTTCACAAACAGATGTAATGTAAGCACATACATTTTTGACATATGACAAATAATAGCGACCTTAAAACAGCCGAAAATTAGTTTATGGACTTAACACCGAAAAAAAGCTTTCCAAAATATTTACATAAAGTAATATGAAATTCTTAAAGCTTTCGACATGCAATGTATGTCAACTGCGAAATATTGGGTGGAAATTAATTAAAAAGAAACGCAAAATAGTTTAATCGTTTGCTGAAATGAACTTTAAAGCAGAAAGTGCTTTCAAACATTTTAAATTAAATAAAATACAATTTTTACAGCTTTCTATATGCAACGTATGCCAAGAGACAAACTTTATGTGGAAGAGAACAAGCATAAAAAGAAATAGTGATAAAAAGAAATTATTGAGTTCTATACTCCCATTTTTAGAAAATTACAGCCGCCAAAAAAGCTTTCCGAAACCACATAAACTAATATGGAATTCTTCAAGCACTTCTCAGGTACAAAAAATTAGGTAAAAATGTTAAAAACGCACAAAAATTTTAATTTTGTGCTAAAATAAGCTTTCACGCAGAAAGTGCTTTCAGACATTCATAACTAAACAAAAGTGGTTGCAGCTTTCTATATACAACCTTACGCCCCAAAGAGCTTTCATAAATAAAAGAAAAGTGGATACAAAACGAAATCATAAAAAGCTTTAATATAGAAATATGTAAGACTTTCAGACATAAGTAAACAAATAACATCTAAATTGATGAATATCAATCTCTTAAGTCAGCTGTTTCAACAGTTTAACTGTTATATGTTATAACTCTTAATTAAACTTTTCTCATTTATACTTAACTCTTCTTCCAGGTGCTTCCTTTTTGGGTACGCTCAACCATATAACTTCCTCATGGCCGCTCAACAAAACTCCACGCTCATCTACGACAATTTGGATGAGTGTCCTACATTGCTAAAAGAACCCGAAGAGCTGAGCAGTTATAGCCCTATCTTGCCTTTGAAAAATCAAAATAATGCTTTTAAACAACAGTTGCCAAAAGCTGATAACAACAACAATAATAATGACAATAAAAATTCAAATGTTAAAGAATTTCATAAATATCGGAAATACACGAAAAGTCGTCATCATGGAAATTATGCAGCGAGCAGCTGCAGCACGAAGAGCAGCCGAAGTCGTACGATATCGCTAAGTGGCGTCAATAGTACGGAGGTAAGTTCTTTTTAGTTTGGATACATCAATTGATTATCAGTGGCTTTGATCTAAAGCGATTTGAATTGAATAGAGAGCTTTTTAAAAGCTTTTATTAACTAACTTGCATTGGACACAAATGCAGAATATTTTTATATATGGTTTACAATAATACTTAAATGTATCTGTTTTTTTTTTTTGTCTCTCTCTCTCTTTCTCTCTTCCACGCTTTTTCTCTTTGATTCTCTCGTCATCGACAGGAGCAAGGCCACAAAGAGATACCCATTTGGCTGGGCGAGGAACCACGTTACGTGTCCGGCGTAAATAAGCGCACCTCCTGCAATGACATTATTAAAGCTTTGATTGATGATGAAATCCGTAATGGCGGCAATCACGATTATTTTGCCAATCGTAACAAATGTAAGTCAAGATAAAAAAAACACTGCTATTTCTAAAATTTTTTTACGATATACTATTTTATTTTTAGTTGGTGTATGTGGGTGTACGTCGCGAGTTCGAGAGAGCGGGGAAGAGCAAAAGATTGAGCTAGTTTTATATGCTCTCTTTCTATCTCTCACTCTCGCGCTTTTATATAAGGTGTTCAATAATAAGTATTTTGATTTAGAAATCTAAATATTTAGACGAACTGCTCGCGTTCTTATTTTATAATGATAGCAATGATATACATACCAAATATTATATAATAATGTTATATACTAATTACTATTGATTTCTTATACTTTTTGGGCATTTTTCTACCCCCTACCTTCAACACCCACACTTTTTGGCACCACCCGGCAACTCTGCAACTCTGGCGTGACTTGACTGTGCGGCTACCTGCTTGTTGTTTTACTATTATACACATGGACTATGCTTCCGGTACTTTCCTCGTAATATGGACTCACTTCCGTTCGGACGGACGCGTTGTGTGGGGTTGCGGCTTGCTACCCGACGCCGCCTGACACCCATCAATGGCATGCATATTCTTTTAATTTGTATATATATATAAATATATATATATGTAAACTATGCGCGAATAGCTGGCGCAGCATCGCGTGACTACAACGATTATGTTATAACGGAAAGTTGGCGCGGTATCGAGCGCAGCTATGATGGCAATATGGCAATTTTACCCGTTTGGAAGGCCTGGAGTCGTGTGCACAATGAGGTAATTTACTTATACACTAACATTTCCACGTTATTTTTCACGAAAAACACATACAACAAATATGAATTTATATGTATATATAATGTTTTATATGTGAGCATTGATAGTGCGCCTGGTTGTTGTCCGCCCATGTTATTTTGCCTGTCCATAAACTGTGATTATATAACGCTGGTGCGCTCGAGTGGTAAAAAACTATTGGCGCCACACGCAAAATTGCGTATATAAAAAGGATATAAGCGTCATAAAGTTAACAACAAAAACACATAAGACGCTGCCTCGGACAGCGTTTGCGTTTTTTAGATGTTTTTATATTATAAATTGATTAACGGTAAATCAATTTATAATAACATATAGAGAAAAAAAACAAACTCTCTTACACTAAAATATATTTTTATTGAGACCTTATCAAGTGTGTTTAGCCTTCGATTATCCACCGAAAATTGTGCAATATATCGGATAACGGTATCTTTCAAACGATATTGAGATATTGACATTTAACTTATGTCATACCTTCCATATATTATACAATTTCGATTAATAGGAATCTTATTACCATCTTATTATGATCAAAATTTACCCGGACTGGTCTATTTAAACTCCTTGCACAAGCTGAATAGATATATTTTTTTTAAGATTGATACAATCTTTTTTATATTCATGACCATTTAATGAAAAATTACTTCATCATGACGGGAGATTTTACGAAATTGCTGGTTATCCAATCGCATCGCCAAATATTCGGAAGCTCGCTTTGAAACTTGTTAAGATAGTAGCTTGATAGCTCCAAACTTGATCTTATGTTAGGTCACTGAAAATTTTGTTTTGTCGACACATATTTTCCACTAAAGTTAAGTCAGTAGCTATTCGGAATTTTTGATATTTATAACGGCAATATTATCCTCTTCTTTTAAAAATATTTTGGGTAAGCTCATAGTAACCCGATTTATTCCATCACCTTTAAGTACATTTACTACAGTGCGATCTTCAGATTTTTTAAATGGCCTGGAGCTTATTCCTTAATTATTAAATTGTTTCACAAATGCAGACCAACTATCGTTGAATGATATTATTTAACAAATTATCATAAAATCTACTAAAGTCTTCAATCTTTTGAAAAACAAATTTATTTCAAATAAATATTTTATTACTTTCAGATCCGTCTAAGCATCAAACACCACAAGGATGTCGCAGAACCAGCGCCCCCAAAACAAAACAGTAACTGGTTCCACACCCTACGTAAATATTTTGCCAAACTATTGAAATTCCCGAAACGAAATAATAAAATGCTGCCACCTTCTATAAACAAGCAACAAAACATACTATTACCCATCAAAGAAGAAGAAAGCCCAGATGAGATCATCTTCGTTCTATTACCCGATAAGAAATATGACAATTCATCAGCGTCACCCAAAACCAACATGCCCTTAAAACACGCCCACAATAGTACCAACGATCCCGTTACCAAAGCAGAGATGCTTAAAAGAAAACTTTACAGTCTCTCCGAGACGCGTGTACCCATGCGCCGCAAACAACGCGGTAGCAAAACGCCAAAGCGCAAAAAACAACAACCGCGCGAAAAATTGCCAAATCAAATACACGAAGTGACAAATAACTGTATACGCCGACGCAAAGATGCGCCTTTAAGGCATTCCATACGACACAAGTTGGCGCAGAAGACCAACGAAATCGATACGCTCTACAAACGTGAATACGAACTGACACAACGTTTAACACATAAATGTCAACTTCACAAGCTGCACAATGAGTTATATGCCAAGGCGGATCAACGGCTGGAAATCTCTATTGGCCAAATACAACGAAATGTCGAACAATATGCCGAACAAATCATACAAACCGAACAGGAATTACGCGAGTTAAAGCAGGAAATCAAGCAGGACATATCGATTGTGAATAACCTTAAGCGTATGGCTTTAGATACTGCGGAGAACGCAAACGATTGTGGTATACCGCTCATACCTAATTTGTTGGTGGAAGAAATACGACATGAAGCGCAACCGCCGAAGAGAGCTGCCGATGCGGAAATGCAATTTGTTGATAATATTTATGAGTTCTGTGACAATAACGCTAGCATGTTGGTGTAATTTGAATATTTCCAGTTTGCGAGTTTACTTGCGTTCACATTGTAAGGTTATTGAGTATGTTTGATAGATGTCATGTCAACCAAACAGAAAAGAAATTAAGGCTCGTTCACAACAAATGTTCCTTACCAACACATTTGTATCTTAACAGTACACCTTCTATGCAATATAACCACACTTAAATTTGTTTACTATTTTGACAGTTAACAATCGTCCACTCTGCAGAGATGTCAAATTGAACTTAAAGCTTCTTAAGCACTCTTTTAAAAAAAGTATTTGATTTGTTATAAAATTTTATTATTAAGCATAATTTAACATAAGCTTAATTTTTTCACGAACTGCCAATTTTTTTTATAAATATACGGTAACACCGAATGTGTCTTAAATATAAAATAAAAGTATAATTTGTCGATTGTTTCATAAATCGCATTTCTCTACTCATATTCTAACATAAAAAGTCGCATATTTTTAATAATCATAATTTATTCAAAATAATTTACACTATATTTACAATAAAAAGTACTACTAACCTTCCGACAATATTAATATTAAGGCAAAATATTATGGAATGAACTCACTACTTGTTACTAAATATATAATAGAAAACTAGTATTAAGTTTTGTGAACTGATTTTAAATAAGAAATAAAAATGGATGAATAATGTATAAAATTGTTTATGTTTCACAAAAAGTTATTTTCCGAACGAAAATTTACATGAATTGGTTAAATATTTTAGCAATGTAGTTAATTATATTGATTCATCAGCTGATTGTCAACCTGTCATAAAAGCATTGTATTCTGCCAAGAAATTGTCAATTGTCAACCTGTTACCGATATATGGTATGCGGTCACGAATTTTTCTACCTGCAATACTTGTTTAGTAAAATTTTTTCGGTTCCATGTTCTTTTATTCAGATAAAATTTAGATTTTTGCTTATCACTTTTGCTTTTCTTTAAAACTCAATTGATTTTCGAAAACGATTCGATTCACCATTCAATGTTAATTTCGGATTTAATTCGATTCGGCATTAAATTTGATAGGTAGGAAGGTACAGTGACAGCCTGATGACGCACATAGGCCTTCAGGAGACCCATTGTGATACCACCGGGACTGAAGTTTCCTCACTCTATGGTCTCCATCGATGATTGCGATTTTTTTCCTATTCGCATACAATACGTTTTATTGTCTCCTTTTCTTCTACCTCCGGACAGCTTCTACAACAGAAATTATAAGGCGTTCCTAGTCTGCTGGCATATCTGCCATACTACTATCATCCATACTACTTACCGCGTATTTATTTTTCGTTATTGACCACCATACCAATATACAGTATACCATAATCGGCCTTACAACCGCTGTATTGTGCCAATGAGCTACAACTATGGGTGAACCGAAAATGGCAAGAAAGAAAGCTTGGGAAAATTTTTCTTAAGGTTTCGAGAAGTAAACACTACAATTGCATCTTCTGATATCCATTCTGTCCGTCTTCTGCAGCACTAAAACTCTCACGAGAATCATAGTTATAGACTTCCCAGCTTGAAAATTCTACGGCTTCCGTTATCGAAAATATATTTATAATGCTGCTGTCATGAAAGCTTACAACTTTCCATTTGTTATTTTTTCAAATTTGACTTAAAGCTTGCAAGCACTTTTAGAAACTTTCTTATACTTGTATACGAACATTAATCGACTATTTAAGGGCGTATTCTTTAGTCAAGCTAAAAACCATTCCAACTTTTGTGTAAAAAAGCTTACTTCTAAACTTTTTAATACTCAAAGCTTCTTTAGACGAGCCAAACGTCAAAGAAATTTTTTAGATGCAAGTTTTCTGCTGAACTTAGCTCAGGAAGCTATTTAAGCTGCTCAGATAAAAAGCTGCAACTTAAGTACACAGCGAGAAAATGTATAACAATATTGAAAGTTTTCAACTTCCATTTAGATTTAATTAGATTTATTCACGCCCAAGATATACATATTTAGGTCCTATGTGCCGAAATACTATTTTAAACTTACGTGAAAAACATCTTTTCTTTGTAATAAGTGAGTACAACGGTATTCTTTTTAACATTTTCTCAAATATGCGCATAATAATATTTATTGTTACATTTGTTGTTATTTTCTTGTTCTTGGTTGTTATCATCAATATATTATATATAATTATTGTTATTACTTTGTTCTCTTTGGTAATAGTACTTGATTATAATACAATAATTCTCCATAAATATTGACGTCTATAATTATTGCAATATTTGTTGCTCGCTCTTCATAGTATTGTTAGCATTCTCGTTTTTTTTATTTAAATATAATTAACGCAGAACTCAAAAACGCATACAATATAAACATGTTTTTGTTTTATTTACATAACAGTATATTTCATATAAATATAATACTTATGTATATGTATATGCATATGTGGTACAAATACAAAGCTGGTATGTACGAACTTTTTGGAAATGTGAAAATATTTTTTAAAGCTATGTGGATAGCTTCAATTGGCAATAACTGAAAAATATACATAAATAGATATATGTTTGTGTTTGATAGGATGAAGCAATGTTTTTGTATCATATTTACAATTTAATTTCGTTTGTTCATAAGAGTGAGTCATTTTACAGCTTTCTTATTTATAATAGTTCTTTACTTTTTCTGAGTTGATTCGATATATTTTTTTAAATGTTTGAAGGTGATAACTCAATGACGAATTATTTTTTATAAATATCGCAATTTTCATTTTTTGTTGTATTTATGTAATTCAAATTTTTATTTGATGCGGATTATTAATTAGCTTTTATACAAAGCGCTGACGGGATTAAGTATGCATTTTTCAGGTTTTTGTTAAATATTTTATTATAAAATAATTATTAAAAATTTACTAATACAAAAATACAACAAAAAATATTAAAAAACTCAATTGAAATTTAAACATAACATAAACTCAAGCCTCTAAACCTAAAATTTAAGCTAGTTGGCATGAATGATAGGTAGTACGCCTAAAAGTATACATCCTCTGGAGTTCAGCAACGATATGTTATAATTTTTTCATTACGAAGGTGATAATACAGATGGTTATATTTCGTGTCTTATTTAAATTTTGAGTTATCGATGAAAAATATTAAAAATTGTGGATTTTTCTCTTACTAAGCAACTTATAAAGCAATTGTTTTTAATATAAATCAAATATTTATGGGAATATAACAAAACAAATTTAATATAAAAAAAGATCATACAAATGTTATAGAATAGACTCACAAAAATATTTATTTATTTTAATTTAGTAAACATTAATTTTTAAGTATATTAAAATTAAATGACCATTACAATATACTCAAAAATATATTTTTTTTATTTACGTTTTTTTAGTGAGAAAAAAATTACTAAAATTCCAATAACAATATATAAAATAATTAATATTTTTTTTTAATTAGTAAAAATGTTTTTTTTAATAAAAAAACAACTTAGATGCTATAAAAATAATTTTATTGAAAGGAAATAACTAATAATTATATATACTATCAAAAAATAAAAACTGTAACCCAAAAGAAAAGTAAACAAAAATATTGTTTTATAATAATTATATATTTTTAACAAATTCCCACAAAAACGCTATCTAAATTAAGAAAAAATAATAATTTTATGAATTTATGAATTATATATTTTGCAAACTAACCATTAGAACAACAAAAAAAATTTTTTTTTTATAATAATTATATATTAAAAACAAAACCATAAAATCATCCTAAAACAAAAATATATATTTGAACTATTCCCAGAAAATGACAACCTAAAATACAAAAAACATTAATTTTATAAAAAATATTAACCATAAATTTAAAAAAAGATTCATAAAAGCAAAATCTAAAATACAAAATTTATAAAAAAATATTTAATTCAATTAAAATTTTTTAATTTACTATATATTAAAATAAATAATAATCATATATTTTTAAAAACTACCCTTAAAAACCTAAAATATAAATAATATACATAATATAATTATTTATTTATAAAATATCATATTATATAAATCATATATGTATACATAAAGAAAAAACAACAAAACTTAATTACGATAATTGTTTCAAAAATAAGTTCTGTGAAACATAATAAATAACTTTAGAAAGAAATTGCTACTGAAATATATTTAAATAAAGAGTATTTTTTCAAAAGCTCATACAAAGCAAAATTACAGGCATTTATTCATTATTTTAGCGATTTTTTTGATTGAAATACATTTTTTTATTCTTAAGAACTTACTTAAAAGCTATTTATCTCTTTGTCCAAAAATAGTTCTGAAAAAACTATACGAAATTTAAATAAAATTTTTTAACGTTAGGGTGGTTTACATTTCAAAATCAGACTTTTCAATAAAAATATGTGTCTCAACATTATGGAAAAAAGTTTGAGTTTGAAAAATAGCGCCTAAAAGATACAATTCAAAACATTTTTTTTTAATATTGTTTAATCTTTTTATTTAACTAAAAGTACTTTTTGTTAATTTTTTCAGTTAAAAATTATAAACAAAAATATTAAAAATAAAATGACCGGAATTTAGGAAAACAAACATTTTTTTTAAATGATAACGCTTAAAAGATATAATTTAAATTTGAATTTAATTTAAATAGCTCGGAATCTTTTTTTTGTTACAAAATTATATTGCATATTGCTTTTATTTATATAAGTAAGAAATTTTGGAAACAAATTTTTTTCTTTTAGTTCTCTTTATCTTTTGTCTTAAAATGTTTTTATTTTTTATACTTTTTTTTTTGCAACGTGTGTTTAATAATTTACTATATATATATATATATGTATATATTTATCTACATTTTTATATTCTTCTTTTATTTAAATATTATTTATGTTATTACAAAGCAGGTAACAATTTCTACACACAAAGTACACAAATCACATCTAAGTGTGGTTATTATCCTTTTGATCCTGGGAAAGTAGGCTACATTATAAAACTGTAAAATTTACAAAAGAACTTTTGAAGCTTTTTCACAACAAATCACAAACATCTTACAATTGCTAAATTCTCTTTAACTAGCTTCTAGCGAATTGAACGTGATATTTTACATGCTTGAATAATCCAAAAAAAAAAAAAAATCAAAAAAATTTCAGTTTTATTTAAAGTATAACAACTATTTTAGATTTCATGTATTTGAGTTGCATTTTTCACAAAAACTTTTTTTTGTCAAAAAAAATTTTTTTTGAAACAAAATAGAAATGTTAAAGCACTCAAAGTATTGTTAACAGTGCACACTACTACACACACTCATATATAAATATGTATTCATACAATCACATACATAACGCATAGATAACTAGGTTGGTATGTAATTAGCAGCTAAGACTACACGCTAAACTAAGCTTAGTGTGTTTATTTAATTTTTTTTTGTTTTTGGGTAATTTTTGGTTTCGGTTGATTCTAGCGGCCTTTGAAGGGCTTACATGTCTCTAAGTATAATTTCACAATAATTTCATTTCGATTATGGGTATGTTGTGGTAAATTTTTTAGTTTACATTTTTAAATTGTTTCTTTGTAAATACTTTAAAGCTTTAATTGCATATATATACTTTTTGTTAGGTTATATACAAAAAAATACAAAAAATAAAATCCAAAAACATAAAATACTATTATAAAAATATATAAATATCAGAAATTAATAAAAAAAATTTTGATTTTTAATTTCAAGTAGCAAATTAATTAACTTTTTAAGCTTTTTTTATATTTTCCAAAAAAAATTAGAACATTAGTCTACTAACAATTTTTTCGCAAAAACGAAGCTGCTTTACTCTTTAGATACTTTTTATGATTATTTATATTTTTCGCATTTTTTACTCACTCTTGCATATGCTCAGTTATTTGCTTTCTTCAAGAAAGCCTTGCAACACTTACACATTGCTTTAATTTTGTTTTGTTTAGTGACACATAATTGTTGTTGGTTTTAGGAGATATATATATATACATATTGCATAAATAGTTTTACTTTGTTTTAACCTAACTGTACAATTTATTATTTATCTACGTAACTGTTTCTTTTTTTGTTTTTATTGATGATTTTCTCCTTTAGCATATGCGCACCTTGCCATATTTCCTTCATAGACGCCTTGCCTTACATTCAATTATTTATCACTTGGTATTTGGTTAGATCCAGCAGATGCTCGTAGAATAGATCCTCATGCGGCGTCAAACCGATCATTATCCAACCACAGATGGCGCCAATGCTGCGCGTAACCGATAAACTACTCCAAACACTCAATACGCTGTTGCTATACTGCTCGGGAGAGATGTAAAATGATAAGGATTAGGATTCAAGTTTATAAGCGAAAAAAACTTAATTGATAAGAGTTACATGTAAATGAGAAAATTTTCAGAGAGTCCTTTAATTGATTCGATTAGCAATTTGCGCAGGAAATTTACTAATTGACTCCAATAAAATGATAAATTATTACTGAATTCTTACTAAGCGATTGGTCAATTAGTTATAGGTACATCAGGCAATCTCTTAATTGAGCTAATTAGTGCATACAATGTACTAATTGACTCAATTAAAACGTGAAATTGGTGAAAGATTGCAAGTTTTATAAATGGTAACTGTATCAGTAAATAAGTGTAGATAATTTACGAAGTGACTCAATTAAGATGTTGTTTAAAACGCCATTTAAAGTTAATGATTTCGAGTTTACATATATTTGAATGAGTAAATAGACAAACTTCTTAAATTTATTCAACTAGCAATTTGTCCAGAAAATTGGTTAAACCAATTATCAATTGTTGTTTCAAAAAGTCCCTTAATAAAGTAAATAAGCAATTAGTGCACAAAGATTACTAAACTACTCAAACAGTCCCTTAACTGAGTAAGTAAGCAATTATTATACAAAATTTACGCAATTAATGCCTGGAATTGTTGTTAAAGATTGCTTAAAAAGTAGCTGATTGAGTCAATTAGTGTAGACAATTTACAAATTTATTAAATTAAGGTGCTGTTTGAATCACCATTTGAAATTAATGATGCCGAGTTTACATATATTTTAAATAGTAAGCAGACAGTATGGCCTCAAAAACTCATTAAAAGTTATGTTTTATTAATAAACGATTTAATTTACATTTTTACTTATAATATATACGGTGTTCTCAATTAAATTATCAACTCACCATTTCTTCTTGTGTTAGCGTCACATTAGCATTGTTGTTGTAATAGAGTCGTTCATCAATCGAATCGGAGCATATCGTTAATATTATTGTCGCTATATAAATCATTGCAATGATTAGCCAACGAAATGAAATGAATTCGGTGGCATTGCTGAAGTCCCAACGGCAAATGTCCATGCTGGAAAGAAAAAGAGCCGAAAATATTTAAAAATTATCAGAAAAAATAAGCATTAAATTAAATACTAAAGAGATAAGAGATTTTAGATTTACTTATATTTATTCCCCAAAAGCCAAGAATAACTATTTTACTTAATACTACCCAGTAAGCCATACAAATTTTCCAAGGATATTTTTATAATGAAACTACCCACTATTTAACCCCCTGTTTTGTTTGGAAAATACAATAAGTTTTGTCAAGAATTCGCACAGAAATGTAATTTGAGAACGAAGAATAAACATAACTTTGATTTTCTCAAAAAATATGCCTTTAATCTAAATATATTTCACAAACAAACTTAACCTTAAATGTTTTCATCCTCATATGTTTCCATTACATAAATGCTAACTGTCATGTTTAATGAGTAATTCGAGTATTAAAAAACGACTTAGTTAGTAGTATATATTATATAACCTGTTTAGTGCGTAAATATTATCTCATAAAAAGTTGTTCACATTTTTTGAACAAAAGTTCGGAATTTCTATGAACTCAACGATGACATTTGACATTTCATACCGTCGTCATAAAATCCTTTAAGTTATATACATTCATACGTAGGTAACGGACGTCTAAGCCAAAAGCTTGAGTGCTGTATATATGAAATATTCTAGTTATCAGTATACCGATTGTACAATAATCAAATAAAGCCGCTGGCATATACCGATATGTATGGTATATATAAGGAAAACTAACCAGTAGGAAAATGTAACCGTGAGAAATAACATAGATGCAGTTCTAATGCACTGAGCGACATTTTGAACTCAAACTCATACTTATGTTTTCTACAAGTGCCCTGGCAAATTTAATATGTTCTCAGCAAAAAATTACTACAAGTATTTTCTCTAGTTCCGAATTTGTACAAAACGGTCAAAAAATATGCCAAATATAAAATATAAAATAAAATTTAGTAAATTAGCGCCTGTAGCGACCACTAACGAAGTAGTACATATATTAAAGCTTTTCTCAAGCTTATAAAGCCATACTTCTTTACAGTCACATTTTTTATACGCTGTAAATTCCCTATCTATCTTTAGTAATATATATTGCTTATTTTTACAAACAAATTAGTTCAGTTTTTTACCTAAACAGCTCGCACTTTCCAACAGGGTATATATGCCACATTGTGCATGACTACAGGATGTGCCACTCAAACAACAACAGCTACAGTAGAATACAAACAAATCTCCTTATAATGCAACACGTACAGGCACACATGTCATATAAAAAATAATGTATACAAAAACAATAATAACGGTAAACATCATACAGAACCGTAATGAAAAGCGCAACAAAAAGGCATCAACTGCACTGAATTGAAAGGGCGGAATGACGAAGAATACCACAAATGACGAAACTGTAAAATGAAATGCATACAAATATACACTTTTATGCATATACAAGATTTATATACATATGCATACATATGTATAGGCGTGTACGCATCCGTAAAGAGGGCAGCAGCTGCAGCCACAGCTGTAGTTCGTGCAAATATTTTATGCTGAGAAAGTTGGCGTGTTAAAGGTCAAACTGTTTTTCAACAGTGAACTTGTAATTCTTGCACGCTGTTAAGCTTTGTTGCAAAAAAAGAAAATATAAATAAATGCACTTGTAGTAGTTAGAGAGAGTAGATGGCAATTCCACATAAAAAAAATTACCAATGATTTCAAAAACACTTCAGCTCAAGTAGGATTTAATTTTCAGTGTCAAAAAGTTTTGGCAAATTTTTTATCCACACACTGTTAGCATCTTGGAAAAATGAAAGTCAACAAAGGACCAGTTATTAACTGGTTACGGAGTAGAGTTAAATTAAACATTTCAGACTTTCAATTATACAAATTTTTATTTTAAAGAACAAATGTTTTATGTTAACTTTATAACCAAATCCAGTGAAAGAGATCTCCAAACGTTTTGAGAATCAGAAGATGTTTTCTTTTCGGAAAGTTCAAAAAAAAATACAACAGATATTTTTAAAACCGTAGCTTCTCCTACTACTACTTCAAAAATGAATACACAAGCTTCTCTACTCCTTACTCTTAAGCTCTGCTCTCTTTTAATAATACTTCGAGTAGAAAACAACAACAACGCCACTGCTATTTTACTGCATTTATATCCAGGTCGCTTCGCCACTATCAAGACATGTTCTATTGAATAACACAGCGCTACTATAGCATATAGCTGACGTACACGCCGACCGATGAAAATTAAGATATAGATATTTTTATACCCTTCTAAGGAGCTTCTGTTTTATAAACTCATTGGACCTAGTTTCTACTTTTGATAGCTTTAGTTAAAACAATCTTACATAACCGTTACTGCAATAGTGTGTTACTTTGGTAGCTTATACATGACTGACATGACATGTCATTTAATGGTTAGAGCATTATTTTCGAAACAAATCAAAAATTATACGAACACCCAAGTTCATACAAGCAGGCAATTCAGTTCGTCTTGTCTCGTATTATAATGTGTACAAAGATTTTCCGAGAGTATAGGCATGAAACTAGTACATTAGACACCAAATAATAATAATATTTATATTTCATTCATTAAATTTCAGCTTCAGTTCATATTTCCTACACGGTAGCTATGGCTTGCCACAATGACAAAGTGTGTAGGCGGAAGAAAAGTGTAGCACACACATACAAATGAGTACATACATATATTTATTTATGTGAAAACGTGTCGGTATGCACTAAACAGCGAAATGCGCAATAGCACAATGAAAAGCAAATGCAATAATAGTTGAAACCACAACTCATACTTTGACAGAACAACACTGCAAGTACCCAGCAATGAGCTCACTACTGTACACAGGTATATGCATACATATTTATTTCATTACGAAAATAAAATAGGACAATTTTCATGGCAAATGTCAAAGGAGCAAGCATGACGGAAGCATGTCAGTTACAACAACAACAACAACAACATACAAATAAACAAATATTTATATTTATTATGAGTGAAAGCGCAATGTTTGACGTGATGAAATGACAAAATGTGCTGGGAAGTAAAAAAAACGCAAAAAATAACAGTTATGTGTGCATGTGTGTGTATATTCGTTGCGCATTCGGCACTTTACCATAATTACTTTTATATTTATATATTTTACACAAGTGCTAAAAATAAAAAGTATTTGCTTTCGAATTTAATTAATTTTCGCGAGTGCTGCAAAAGCACGCCTACACTCACACATACACACATATAAGCATAAATTTACAGTTGAAATTCCATGCAAACAGTTCCATAAGTACGAGTGCACTTTAGCCGCCACATTTTTAGCGCCTTAACGCTCACTACATTAACGCACACGCCTACGCTGATGACCGTGAAGAAGTATTTGAAATTTATGATTTATTATCTGCGGCAAGCGCATGCGAACACACACACACACATGCACATACTTATAAACTTGCATATGTACATATGTATAGCAAATGCTAACCTTAGCAAAAGTTGCCGTTAATGGCGTAAGTAGTTAGAGCAGCTCATGAATAAGTCGTAGGCAAGTGGTTTTGTCCGCCTACAAGCTGCCACAACAATTAGTGTGTCTAATAGTTAGCAAGTGAACTTGTAATTCGCTCTTGACTGCTTCAAAAAGTTTGCTGATTTTTCCTCCTTACTACCCAAACTTAATTTACATTGCTGCGAATTTTATTCTTAAAATATTGATTTTTTAGCGTAAAAAAGTCCTTGCGTTCTTACTAAAAAGGTCAATGTGTTCTTGAAACTAGCTTTCTAATTCTATCGAACCGAAATCTAGCACGTTCTTTAAAAATTGGCTTATAGCAATTTTAAGAAAATATATATATAATATATAAGTTTTTTATATAAGTAAGTGCATACATATTTCTTTATTATATAATATATGAGTAAATACAAATCAGTATTAAATAATGCAGCTGTAAAAAAATTATACACAAATACTTGCATATATATACATACAAGTATATAGTTTCAAGTAGCAAGCTTTAGTAGACTGCAAAAAATATTGCAAAACTAAAATATTTAAATTGTGTGGGGTGAAAAACGCGGTTTGGGTATTATTAAGAATTTTCTTAAATTTTTTACAGCACAATATTTTGTTAAAAAAATTAAAATCTTATTTTTAATCCAAAATTTTTGATTTATAAAATTCGCAACCTTGCCTGCGAGCTGATTTAACCCCTTAAGGCTTTTTACATCAAAATATAGTTAAAATTTTTGACGCTAAGGCGTTTTGAATTAAAAATTTAAAACTAATTTGAATGAAGTAAGCAAACGCGAAAAAAATTTTAATTAAAATCATTTTATTTTTAATTCCTAATTGAATGCTTGGTATTAAAAGTTTTCTTTTTTATTTTTTAATCCCAAAAAAAGTCTTAAGTTACTATAGACATGTGTGGCCTGACGTTGTCCTAATGGAACACAATTCCTCTCCTATTGTCCAAAGCTAGCCGCTACTGGACGATTACTAGCTTTAGACGCTCCAATTGTGGACAGTATCGGTCCGAAATGCAGAGTTTGCTCGAAGGAGAGCAGCTCCAAGTAGATGATTTCTTGCCATCTCACCAAACGCCTAGTAAAACCTTTCTAAACGTCAATGCTGGCTTGAACGCCGTTTGCACCGACCCACCGTGATTCGACCACGACTGTTTTCGCTTTCAAGTTTTCTGCTCCAAAAGAAGAGTTCTGTTCTCAAAACTGATATATGATGTCTAAAGTAATAATATTTTCTAGGTACATACTCAAACATTTCAGGTTCAATCTGGGTTTTGGAGTACAAAAAAAGTTTTTGGGGGATGTGCATACGGTCCGAAATTAAACATAGGTGTAAAACCAAACTTTTCAGTTCCAGTCTATATTTTGAAAACGGCTTTATAGTCAATCTGGTCTCTTCCAAAATCTGTATTTTGGGTAATAAGGTCGATGATGCCATTAGATTCATTTCGTAGTAGTAAAGATATAACATTTTGAACGAGAAGGTCTTTTCTAGGTGGAATTTCCAAGTTCAATATATGTGTTTGGAGTAAAAAAATATATCGAGCATGCGACTGGAACCAAACCGACACTGTACATACTGTATGTCGAAGATGGTTTAAAGTCAATCTGGTCTCTGCTAAAAACCCAGATCTTGGTCAATATTGTCCACTTTGTCGATGGCTTTCATCTTTAACACATATATTTTGAAAACCTCTTTCATATGAATTGGAGGAAGCAGATTTGAATGTGGAACGGCAGACATGCCTTGGTTGGATTATATTCTGCATAGAAGTTTATACAATACTTATCTATAAAGAGCCGGCACGATACCACATTTGAACACCTCAGACAACAAGGCAGCGTTTTCAATAGCCTTATTATTTTCATATTTCAATGTTTTCTGGTTTTTTTTTTTTTGTTCAAACAAGATTTTTACTATGTCTACCTACATGCAACCACGTTTAAAGTTCACTCTACAACCGGAACGTTAAAGGTCAATTCTACAAACGCTTGAAAATGAGCAACGTAGTAAATAGAGTAAAGTACGCCCGTGAGTATGTGTGTGTGTATATATAGGCAATGGCAATCAGTCAGCTGGCTGGCGGTGGCCTTGTTAACAGTAATACAAGAAATTTACGTATATTATAATACAAAAGCGGTGACGTCGACATAACGGTACGGGTATGCGGCGCCAAGCATGTATACTGAGGTTGAGCCTGCATTTAGTTGGCCTTAGCGTATTGAGAATGCTGCATAAGTGCCAGCAAAGTATTACGAGATAAATATATATATGTCTATATACATGCGGCAGCAGCACGCTAGTCATTACTCACACACGTGCCTGCGCCTATTTGTATGCAGTGAATTCCAATAGTAAGCTACATATCTCTAAAATGCACACAATTTCATATATAACAGAGAAAATAACGGTATTTCTTGTAGATTTTTATCTTTTTTTTTTACATTTTTTACACATACGCTTCCCACTCCTGGACGCGTTTTAATATTTGTGGTTTTATTCTAGTCTGAAGGTTATTTACAATGTGCACACCTTTGTGTGTTCTTCTGTTAATATTGCCACAAAGTACCAATTTTTATGTTTAGCCAACCAAACATTTATTTTTATGCCAGCATGACTATATTTACATCCGCCTCTATGCAGATTTAACTCGCAATCACTTTATTATTAGCAAATTTTTACCTGTTTTGTTTTTGTTTTCTCTTGCCATTTTTCTATATTTATGCGCTCGTTGCTGTTCATTGCACACATGACTTGCTTCATAATTTCCACAGTTATGTGCTTGCAAAATTTATATATGGCAATATTTATTCAGCTATTACAGCCAATTACATACTGACACATACACACATACATGCACGTGCATGTGCAGCGTGCTTTTTACACATTTATTATTTTCAAAGAATTTTATGCTCACGTTGACGTAAACAAATGGACAAATAATATATCTAACATGCTTCCTCTTTATCATTTTCTATTGTTATGGCAATTGCTAGGAAAATTGTCCGAAGTATGGTGGGGTGTGAAGTAGGTGATAGGCTGCTCACATGCTCACATCTGATACCATGATAATCGGTTCTACTCAATCGGAATATACCCTGGTTTTATAACTCTGTTAACTCAAAATTATTTGAAAAAAAAACATCTGTTTATGCAACAATAAATAGGCTGTGAGAAGTATTCAAAGTACTTTATAATATATTTTGGCATTATACTGTTTTTATAAACTCTGGTAAAGGTTGTCCTCTTGCGTTTTAACGCTCTGGATTTCCCTGCGAGCTTTGTAAGCTCTGATCAGCAACTAGTTCCTGTGCGACAACGAGATCCTTTTGGCCTAGAGTAGAACGCAGGAGAACCACTAATCTATTGCATAGTTAAGAGTTCTTATTGAACATTATCCAATGAGCGTATACGAGGTAAGGCTGAAAATCTTGTCGAACGAAAAAGTTGTAAAGAAGAAGGTGAGGTGGAAGCAACCAAACACTTTGTCCTCCATTGTCCAGAGTTTGCAAGAATGAGGTTGAAACATCTCGGTAGTCATATATATCAGCGAACTAAGTGAAATAGCTGCTCAACAAATGTCTGGCAAGTTCAAAGCACTTTAACGATTTTTGAGGGATCAATACTTAGGAGTATTTAGGTATCACAATGCAACGGCGTTCTCAGCTGTCCAATTGAGATACTCTTTTGGATCGGCCTTATCTTATAACCTGATCCCAACTAAACATCGTTCAGGTACTAGCTGCAATTGATAGCTGCTCAATTTCTTTTAGATTATAATAAGGGAATCTGTGTAAGATAACTCGTCTCAACCGATTGAAGGTTCATATAGTAGGTAATATACCCCTTTTCCTAAAATAGAAGCCCTTTGCTCTGCCTACCATCCAAACTACCGCAAATTAATTTAATGGTACTTCCTGTATTGGAGCTAGAGCATTTCCAAGCAGTTCTGATCATTATAAAACTTTTGCATAAAACCAAGAAGTTTTCTGTTCATCTGTTGAATTTGTTGGTTCCATTAGTGCACTTACTCGACCAGCAGTTTTGTAAATGAGACATTTCTACTTAACTTATCCTCTGTAAAGCCACTTCTCAACCAATTTATATCACTAAGCTCTCATTTCCATCTTATACTCAAACAGCCAATTAATTAAGGTATTACAAAGGACTTACCGATCAAAAACCGAAACCATGCATACAATTGCCAAACAATAGAATGTATTCAGATAAATCTCAGCGAATGTAGCATAATCCTTCACGAAGCTGAAATTTTGCTGCGTGTCAGTTAACATAGATTTATCAACACCAACACCGACACCAACACCATCACCATTCACCATAGCTGAATCGACTGTTGTTGCGTCTGCTTCTTGTGTCGCTTGAGTTACAGTCTCGCCCGCAAGACTGATAAAACGGGACCAATCGACGGGATGGCTGCTCAACACGAACAACAAATGTGCCAGTGCTAGGCCAGCTAGCAAACCATGGCAGATATTCGAGATGAGTATCCAAATTCGTTGAATGACGCAGGCCAATTGTATATTCGACGTGATCTCACGATGATGCCTGAATAGAAAAGAGAAAGTACACAGATTGTAATGAGATAATGTTTAAATTGCTTGTAATACTATAAATGCATTATTAGGAGATGGTGAATGAATAAAAAGAATACAAAGTAGACGAATGTTTTTTATGACCACAATGTAAATATTTGTGAAAAAAAAACGGCACGGCAGGCTTGGGAGAAATTGAAATAAATGGAAATACATGTAGCAGTTTTACAAGATTTAGATCTTTGGCGAGTGCGACCGGACTTTGTCACAGTTACAAGTTTTTGGAAATATTTATATATTTGTAAACCCATTATATGATTTTTAACTCCTTCTATAATACAGTAACTCTCCATGGCACCAAGGTGTTCCTGTTGTTCCAGAAAACCTTTGTTATTATATTATTCTAATGACAGGTAGATTGTTGCTTGTAAATATCGAACCGCTTCCTTTAGATTGTCGGAGTATACTTTAGTTCCAAGCAGAAACTTTCTTTCTTGTCCTTTAATTTCTTCTTTGGCCATAATCGACTGAAATGTTAGATCTTTATCAACCTCACGCCAACGTGTTTGAATCGCTCATTTGGTATTACAAATCTTCGAACTTCCCCATAATGGAAAAATTGTAATTTTAATCCATTACCTTGGACTGTGTATTTGGTTTTACCGTTTTCCTATATATTTCATTGTGGTCTTCATTGACCTTAGTTACCAAGTCTAGTTCTTAATTATTTTTCAGAAAGTCGACTCAGTCTTAAATTATGCGATTATTTACAGTATCGCTTTATACGGGTTACTCGAGTCTATATATCTGCATAGCTTGATGTATTTGTATAGTGAAACCAAATGTTATACGGATTCATATTTTAGACCACAAGCTCATAGTCCATTGATGCATTTTAAGCGTTCAAAGAAACCAATTTTGTTTAGTTTTATCTTCTTGTGTTGTGGGCATGGATACAAGCTAGCAAGCTGCTGCGAAAACTTGTGATATCTCCAATTTATTAACCGAAAGACTGAGTCTTTCCGATAACTCTAATTTTACTTCAAATGGGAGCTCGTTCCTTTCCTCTTCCTAGGTCCACAAATTTTTTTTACAAAAAGACCAATCAATCCTACAGAAGCGTCTACAAAAGTCGGGTGTACGCAACAGAAATAGACTCGTATTTTTTATCTATCTGAGGACAATGTTAATCACAATGATTTGGGAATATTTTTCTGGCACTACAACAACAAAAACAAAAGGTATCCTCCGTTCTACCGACAGTCCAGCCTTAGTAAATAAAACGAACTCACATTTTTGTCTAGCCGGGTATTAGCACTCGATAACATTCGTCAAAAATATTTGGATTTTTTGCAAAAACTACAGAGGCACATGGCCAAGAAAACTCTTAAAATAAACTTCTTATTTACAATTTCTCATATCAAACATTTCCAAATTTTACCACAGGGTGCTATTTTACGTGACAAGTTTCAAATCTAAGCCAAATTCCATAAGTGTCTTTAGTTTCTGCCTTACAAATACCAAGTCACAGTCTAAAGGAAGCAAAAAAATATTTGCAAAAACAACATTAGCAAAATACAGTAACAAATAAGAGACGCAATCAACCACAATTCTACTCAAGCAAGACAGCAAACCGAACGAATCGAACGCCCACTGGTTACCGTTATTTCCAGTAGTCAGCAAATATCAACTTCATGCGCTGAGACGACCATTACGCCGACAGCAGCACGTCTGGCAGCGTAGGCGTATGCTCACAACAACCACACATGCCGGCCGAATAGAGCCACCAAGGTGGGCTCCCACACGCTAAGGTCATTAGGAAACTTTCAACGACACGCAACACATAAAAACCGACGACCTACCATGCAGAACTTTCGTCACGTAAATCTATGCGTGTGTGCATGTGGGTATGTGTGCAAAATGCGTTAGCTTTTTTCGAAACAAATTTCGAATATTTTGCAAATGAGACACATTTTAGGAATATAAATATAACAAAACACGTAAATGCTATATAACACACGCCCACACTTACAACCACATAACAACAACGATTGTGCGTTTTGTATATATTTATGTATATTTTGCGTCGCTTTTTCATTTTCATAGTCTAAAAATAGCTGTCAGCTATTCACAGCGGCTGCTAAAAATAAAGTCGGCTGTGGAAATTCATACAACATAAGCCCACAACCTTTTGCTACGCACCTTAAATGGGCTTATGCCTACAAGTATGCTACGTGATTTGCTCGAAGACGAGAAAGTGTTTTTGTTGTTATTAATAAAGGATATTGCAAAATTAAGAAAAGGTGTGTAAGTGTACAATTTCTACAAATTGCCTTAATATAGCAGTGCAAGCGAAGTTGTTCACTTGCTGTATACGTGTGAGTATAAATGTGTGTGTATGCTTGAATCTAAATAAGTACAGTTTACAAAATTAATTTTGAGCATAAAAAAATTTTATTTTATAATAAGAATTTTTGACTATGTAACAGAACATTCGCTATGGAAGGAAAGTTGACTGCCAAACTTTTACTGAAAAACTTAGATTACCGTCATTTAAGGCATGTATCTATTTTTAGCTTAGATACATATTTATAGGTTAGGTTAAATCGCAGACTCTCAAAAAAGGCGGAGAGATCCCACTAACCTTTTGTTTAGCCGGATCAAAACTGCTGTAGTTGGACATTAATTCTCGTCAAAACACCTTGAACCTAACACAAATTTCCACTATTTCTCTAAGACTCTAAGGAACTTATCATTAAATTATCATAAGGAGTGAAATTTTATCTAAAGTATAATATATAAAATTAGATAATTGGAATTGTTTATATGTAAATTGTCAGAAAAAAGTTGAGGTTGCGTATACGCCATGGCAACTAATAATATTCAAGTGATTATAAATATGTTCGATGCTATGTATAACTATCAATAGGCCGCGCAATTATTGAGCGCTGTGACATCCATCAAATTATTCAAAACAATAACGGTATATGAATCAACAGACCTAGCGAAAACCAATATATATTTTTATAACTTGCTACAAAACTTTAAATTTAACTTCCCCTAGTCCTCAGAACATTTGCCAATAATAAAATGTCGCCACAGATTTTAACCTACTGCCGCACAAATAACGCACCCCCATGCATACTGTATGCTAAATTTTGTTGTATTTTTCTATTTTGCACTCACCTTCCACACTCGGCATCTAGTAAGCAACGCGTATCGCCGAAACTGCTACTCGCCCGTAACATGCCTGCATGCTCCAAACCGCCAGTCAAGCTGCCGCCCGCGGCAGACAAACGATGCACACCACCACCGCCGCGTCCACTGCCAACGCCACCGCCTGCGCCACCACTACCATTGGCAGCAGCGCCACCGCCGCCCACACCCACAAACGAATGTTTATAATAGCAGTGCTCAACTGGTCGATATCCCGATGACGTCTGCAGGAACATTTTGTCAATGTGTGCGGGCGTATCCTCGGTGGGGGAGACAACCGGTGTGAATGGATTGTAGATTTCCTCACCCTCTGCGGGTACAATGTCATCGGAAAGCTCACGTAATATGGAGGTGAGACCGCCAGCTGAGTAAAGTTTGCCTGTAAAACAGGGAGATGTAGAGAAATAAAACGAGCGAATGAATACAATGAGAACTAGGGTACTTATGAGCAAGAGAAAAGAGAGAAAAAATATAGTATGTGAAGAGAGTGGTAAATATTGTAAAGTCTAAGGTAGACTTGATTCAAAAACTATTTTGTGAATGAATAAAAAACAACCTTTGTCATCTTCTTATAAATCAGGTTATTAATTGGTTCATATTAGACTAACACGTAGATGTAAAAGGGACTTAGAAGGTCTCTTTGACCAACATAATATATTTCTTACATAGTTGCTGGACTAATAAAATCTTATTTTCAACAGATACATGAGCAAAAAATATATATTTAATACTCCGTAAAACCATTTCTAGGGAAATTGCTTAAAATTATCTCAATTAAAATACAAAAGTTATGCATCTTACACGTCATCTAGAGACCCTTGTCTGGTATAGAAAATATTATTTTACACACGAGTTCCATATATTGCTGAGTCCCAGTTGAGAGTAGGTCCACGTAGCTGAGATTAAGACACTCAACTAATGTCATGCTAATTTTATAAATAATTATGCCAGTTTTTAAGGACTTGGACTAAGGTTAAGTAAACATGCTCAGCTCTTAACTCTTTCATCTATCATATACCTGTTATAATATAAACAAAACTCTCTAAGCCTGAGTTTTACATGCTTATATTTATGAGACCATGACCGGATCGATCTATTTATGTAAAAACTTTTACATGACAACCAAAAACAATCGAGAGCAAGAGATATTTTATTCCGCAAGTGACTCTCTTAAGTTATACGCTCTTTTGCAGCAATGGACTCTAAGAGCATGGATTGACTTATATAGCTATCTCGAATGGAAGCTTTTAGATTTCTTTCATATTTTCATTGCTGTTTTCTCGTTCCTTTAAGAAGCTGATGCAATTTAACTAATGACAGAAATATACTCTTCTACTGATAAATGGGCGGCAGGCAAAGTAGTAGGGAATGGACTGCTGAGAGCTACCTTCCTACAGGCTACAAATTGCGAAGCTAATAATAGATTTGTATAGTACTGTGCAATAAATATTGAATACACGAGTATACGAACTTCCGTTTCGCTTAGCGATAGGGGAAATTTCGTGAGTACAAGCCAAATGACACTTATTGACAGTTCAAAAAGTGCAAATGTAAAGAATAAAATTTCTGTTTTATTGTCTATCGGACCAACTCTAATAAAATAATTTCTAATTTATAACAGCAGACAGATCCTATATCTTCAAGCTACTCATTCCTTCCTTTCAAATACACATTCCTTAATAGGATTCTTGCAACCCATACTCACTTATCAAATGCCCACGCTTATCCCGTTGTGATTTCGTCTTCCGATGCACTCTCCGCTCATCATAGTTCTGATCGATTTCCAACTCTCCTGACAACGAAGCGTCATTCATTTCCGAACATTGCTTCAGATAGCGCATCAAAGTCTCGTTCGCCTGTCGCACTTCCAGCTCACCAGCAGCGATTAGTTTGCGTTCACGCCGCCTACGCGATTCTGATTTGCTACGCTTACGACGCGGACTCTTCTCCAGACTACTGCGCGAACGTACCGAACGTTGGGCGGGACTCGCCTGTGGATCGGATAGCGACTGCAACTTACGCACTGTACCGCTACCGCCAGCACCACCACCGCTTGCTGCACTGCCGCTACCCACACTTAATGCCGATGGCGTTGGTGAGCTGTGCTTCAATTCACGATCCATGAAACCCAATATGCCACGATGAAACGAAGCGTCCACCTCTTGTGTACGCCGCGCCGGCGATTGTGGTGAATGTGTTCGACGATGACGATGTCCGTGTGTCACCGTAGGCGGTAGCTGTTGCAGCGTCTCACGTAAACTCAATGCATCGCCAGAGGAGTTGCGACTGCTGCCCGCACCGCCGCCATTAGGATTCGGTGCAGTGGGAGACTCGAGTTGCGTGGCGCCCTCTTCTTTCGCCGACACACCGCCAACGTCCGCATTTGTGCCACACACTATCATAGCTGGGTTTTCACCGTTTGCAGTGGGCTCCTGTTCTTCATCCTCTTGCGGTGGCGGAGAATGACCATTCACCAGCAGCACAGTTTGTTGCGATGTAGTCGACTGACTCAAAGAGGTTGTGCCCAACGGATCCAACGTATCCGTGGAGTGTGTACGTCGTTCATGCACTGTGGTGACAATCACATTAGCACAGATTGCTGTTGTCTCATCGTACGTGCCATCCTCGCTGCGGTCCTCAACAACCGGTGCGGTTGGGATCTCAATGGTTGTGGTTGAAGTTTGTGCTGCAGCGGTGGTAGCGGTGGCGTTAGCGGCTAATTCCTGTGCACCGGTTTGTGCTCTGTTAGACCGCGCCTGACCACGACGCTCACGCACTGGCGATTGAATTGCGTTTGAATGCGTTTGCTCTTGTGTTGACGACTGTTGCAGCTGCTCGGCTGTTGCGTCGTGTTGCGTTCTCGTCCTCGACGCGACTGTCGTATTTGTCGTTGTCGTGTTAGTTAACGCATCCGCTGCTTGTAGTGGTGTTGTCACTATCGTCGTCGTCGTTGTTGTTGCACTATTATTGCTCTGTCTCGGCTGTTGGCCGCCACGACTGCCGTTGCCGCTGCCGCCATTGGTATTGTTGCTATTATTACTATTATTACTGTTGCTGCTGCTATTTTGGCTCTGACGCTCGTGCCGATGATGACGCGAATCCGAACGTCGGTGACGATGACGATGCACCTTCGGGGTGGCTTCCATCTTCCAGCGCTAACACTGGCAGCGGAATGCAAATTTTGTTCAGTTACAACCTACACAAAACGGTTGGTTCGCGCTTGCGTCTTGGCTGCTGTTAAATTGCACTGTTAATAGGGTTTTTTTATAATTTTTTTTTCCTATTTTAGTAAGCCTGCGTGTGCTACAAATTTGAAAATGCAAAGCTTTCAGTGGGAAACAGCTGCTGCTGCTCGGGCTCTTTTCAAACAGTTTTTACTGCTTTTGCAGTTTGTTGCGCTGTTTGTTGGTGTCGACGTTTTGTTTTTGTTGTTTATAATGCAAGCCAATGTATTTTTGTTGTCTTTATTTTCAGCGTTGCCTAAAGTAAGCAATTTCTGTGTATAAAGGGCGCAGTTCCTTTTCAGTACTTTATAAACTTTATAAACCTCACCAGCTCTGTAATATTTTACAGATTTACTAGTATTTTTGTTGTAGTTCAAGAAATTATTATTGTTGCATTTCGGAAAGAATTTTAGAATTTCTGCTTTGCATATATTCTTTTTGTTTTGTATTTTCCTATGTTACAGCAGCGTTCCAAGTAGCTGCGTCCTTCAGTTTTATTCGCCAAAATTGTAGTTGTTGGTGTGTTTTCGAAAATTTTGCACTTTTTTATATTACACACGCGTTTTTTTTTCAAAATTTAATTTCAAAATTTAACACCAACGATTTTCACTGCTTTTCGCTTGCATTATTGTTGTTGTTTTGCTGTTTTTGTTTCTATTTTTGTTTATAAATATTTATAATAAACAATTACACACTATTTAACTTTACATTTTTATTGCTGTTGTTGCTATTTACTTCAATTTTAGCTTTTTCCATTGACATACAAAAAATCGAATTCAATCGAAACGCTTGTGAAGCTGCTTTGTAGTGCGCTGCTGCGCTGCGGGCCATCAATAACGCGTTACGGCCGTTTCCTTGCCTCTGCTACGTCTCCTGCTTCGTCTTCTTATTCGCTTGTTGTTTTTGTTGTTTGACTGCCACGCGCCTACTTCCACTACTTATTGATTTTATGTTTAATTAAGTTTTGACATTTCATTTAACTGTCAGTTCGCGCTTTTATCGCTCAATCAATTCGAACGTATACGTGCTTTGTAGTTTTGTTGTTGGCTGCATTTGTTGTAGTACCTTAACATTTACTTCCTGTGCAAAGTGTTAATATTACTTTCGTACTCGTACTTTGTTATTCCTTGCTTTACATATGTATGTATATGCTTTGAATTCATGTTTTTTTTTGCCAACTCTTTGGTTTCCTTTCGTGGTCCAGTTCGTTTTGACCTAAATAGCGTTTCTGGGTAAGCAAAATATTCAGTATTTCAAATATGCAAACGCCTTGCAATTGCCTACCAAGCGATGTGTGTTCAATTCACACATTTATCCTTCATATCCTACTTCTAATAATTATAGTAATTTTCCAAAAAATGTATATTAATTTACTCGCTCAACTTCATATATCCTTTCAGTTTTATTTTTACTGTGCTTCTTCTTGCTCGCAATACTGTTTGGTAGTTACTTATTTACTTCCTGCTGACTTTTTCACAACAAAGCACACAAACACTACATAACACTTCACAAATTGACAAGCGTTTCAAAGTACGAGCGTTTTTTTCGCGACGCGTTCGCTCGCTTTCACGGCTACTAAGCGACTGACTTGTCTAAGCATTGCTTGCTACCCAAATTGGCTGTTGTTAAAGGCTTTCTCTGTCACAGCAGGCTTTCATGCCTGCGCTTGTTGACTGCCTGCTGCCATGGACAGTTTGATGTAGCGTTTCCATTGCTTGCTCTGCCAGACCGCTTTCTCTTCCTTCATACGATGGCGTTTGCTTTTGTTGTAGTCAAAGCTTTATGATGACGTCAGCAGTGCATATCGCTGCCAAAGCAGTCAACCGACAAACCCACCACAACCTTAGTGAGTACACACTGTTTGTGGGTAGTAAGTGGTTGGGGTGGGCTTGAGAAATACACGCAGTTGGCGTGTGCTGCGCGTAGATATGTGTAAATGTCAATGCTTACAACCACGAGTATTATTTTCATTGGTTGAGGCATAATCTTGGAAAAAACAAAGCATTCTTTAGATATAATCAGTTGATATACTAGCTTGTGGTCTTAATTTCAATGCTTTCTTCAAGACTCTTTATTCGCTTTTAAATATTTTGTTTAAATAATGCTAAGCTTATACTAAAACCAAGAGTCAAGAAATCAAAATACACATACCACTCGTACAAACACGCAGAAACTAATACATACTTTTACAAACTTCTATAGACCCGTATAAACTCGCACATACTCATATAAACTCACAGACATTATTACGAACTCGCCTAAACCTAGCAGTATCACTTGCTTGGTATATAATTTCATTGTTTTGGTATTTTTGCTTTACATTCATTCTTCACACTTTACTCTTCACCCCACTTTGTGCTTAGCCTAACTCCACACTAAGCTGTTATGCTTCCTCTCTTTCGCTCTCATATTTTATGCATCCAAATAACTATTCACCTAAGTGCTTTACAACTTGTACTCTTTTGTTGTTGTTGTTTTTTTTGTTTTTGCTTTGTTTTTACAAGCCTTTTTAGAAAATACCTTCTTCGTATTGGCTTTGCTCGCATTTGTGTGGGAGCGATTTCGATGATTACTCCCAAGCTTTGACTATTTACTTTATTTGTATATGTAAATATACTTGTGTTGTTGAACACTTTAAGGATAAGTGCTATTTTTAGCTCAATTGCTTTCCCATTTACAGAAGTGCAGATAAGTTTACACCGAAAAAAGCAAATTATATAAAAATAGAATATTTCTTTATGTGCTTATACCAATATAAATACATGGAAGAAGTGCTTTTGATCTCTACCACTACTAGCCGGCCCATCAACTCGATATTAATTCTTTCTTTTAATATTTTCATCAACTCAACAATACTTGTAGCACTATTAGTAAGAGATCTTTATTATGTTCCCGCTACAGAGGGCTTACTAGAGCAAATGTTCTGTTATCATAGCAAGAATAATATTGATAATAACTTCAAAACTTTCAGATTATTCATAAGCAGTCACATAATGTTAAAAAAGACCGAATGTTGTTGGAATTTTATTAAATAAAAATAGTGCTGTAATAAACCGACACAACATTTGAGCAGCCAGATAAGTAATTAACACATTCCTCAGCTCCATTCCAGTAAGTAACGTCCTTGGAGTTGAACTACTACCCATTGCAGTTGAAGTGCTTGAGTTACCTCGCGAAACCAGAGCGATCTGAGCCCAATTACTTTCTGAATATTGTATTAGATTAAATTTCTACTTATCTAGACAGCCATAGACCTTAGGTCACGGTGCATCATTCAGACTAAAACTTCGCATACCCTACATAATGCCTCTAAGCAACAAGCGCATATTTCCCTATGGACTGAACTCATTGAAACATGTGTCTTGGCCACCGTCAGACTTCGATGACAATTAATCTACCAAATAATCGGTAAGCTACAAGACAAATTACGCGATTCTTTAGGTTGATAGCATCAAAATCAATAGCACATGATTTACGATCTCACGGAAGATTGTCGCTAAGAGGCTTCATTCTGCATCTCAACTCTTTTTCCATAATATTGAACCTTAAAAGTTGAACCTTAAAAGTTGAACCTTAAAGAGGAAGTATAATGACCCTAATGATAGTTTTTTTGCGACAGCTTGCACTGAGGCGCTCTTAACAACCAAAACATGAGGAAGAGGGAATGCCTAAACATTAGATCAGGGCTCAAATAAATCCAAAACTAAATCCTATACAAAGTTAGTGTGGATTTGAACAATGCTCTATATAAGTCATGAAGACCGTACGTCATTTAGCGTTACCCAGCGAAGCAGCGCGGGTTGCCTTACATCTCAAAATATTTTGAATGCAAGAATATTGCTTCCACTACTTCGGTTACGCGCGGTGTATTAATACCGTTCTGCAAGTTGAGTTTTATATAAAAAATAATATGAATGTGCGTATATACTAAGTTAGCTTTGCTTAGAATTACCAAATATTTTCGTACATTTTTTCCATTTATTTTGCCACCTTCTGTCGTCACCATGCGCACATAATTCTATGACGTACTGCTTGCTAAGTAAATAACTATGGCGCAAAGAGTAAGAGTACTCAATATTTTTTGCGCTCTTTAAGAGCTTCACGGACTCTTCACCAGCTGGCACTTAATTTCTCGCAGCTTTTAATGATTTTGAAAACTGTTTGAGGCGCATGAATTCTATTATTTGTTTTTTTCTTCTATCTTCTACACTACTCACAACAAAACAAAACAAAAGACACCAGCATAAGTTGGCAATGCGCATGTAGCGCACATTTTTGTATGATGACGTCAATCGGAAAAGCTCAGGATATAATAAATCAACAAATTCGCACACCAAAGCAAATCAACATAACTGCAAAAACTAGCAAGTATATGTATATACAAAACGCTGGCAAAAGCAAAAACAAGCGCAGAAAAGACTAAATGCCAGGCTAGCTGGCAGGCGTTATAAAAAGCAGTTACAACAACGCCGAAAAGCCGGCAGCAGAAAGTTCAACAATAACAATAGCAAACGGTCACAGCAGCTACACATGCTTCTTATTTGTTGTTTTTCTTATTGTTTGGTTTTTGGTGAAAAATAAATAAATGGATTTACTGCTGACTGGCTTTGGGTGTTTGAGCAACAAAGCGAGCATGCAGTCGCCGCCACAATCGCTACAGCGTGACAACAATAACACAACGCCTGCTGGAGGGCTGCTGTTGAGGCGAGATTAGCGAGACGTGGGTGGCTGCTGCATACATAACATATAACATCAGCAAGTGGATGTTTGGTCAGCAGTGGGCGTGCGGGTGGCGTCTATTTCTGCGCAAATGTTTTTGTTGTTTCGGTTTGGCTGTTGGCTTCATTTGCGCCAACAAAAAGTACCCCGCGACTGTATTTAAGTGCTTTTGAGACATTTTCAAAAGGTCAACAACGCCAACGCCACGCTTTTAGGGGTTGCCGCTAGAAAAGCGTTAAACGCAGAGAGTATATGCGATTGTTATTTAAGCTGCTGGCATCTTAATGATGCAAGAAAAAAGTCGAAAAAAGTAAAAAAAAAGTGTCTAAACTTTTGTAAAGGCCAAAATGGCAGCGCAGCAGATATAAAATGTTTCAAAGGCGGTATCAATATATATGTAAATAGCTGCGCATTTCATAGACACGTATTAAATAAATTCATCAAAAAGTATGCCACTAAAGTCCATAAAACTCAGTGTTTATGAAGTCACGTCGCCTACACGACGAGAAAGCCAAAGAGCAAGTCAAGTACGCAAACAGTAAAATTTTATATTATACTTGATGTCATCAACGCAAAGTCTATGCCAACCAATTTCGGCACAAATTTATTTGAGTCGTTTGCCGCGCCGGCTTGCCAGAAGCTGTTTACTGTGCGCTGTGTTGGCTGTGTCACGTAATTTTCGACGGCGCTCCTTTGAAGCAAGTCAACCCGTGCGCTGCGGATCAAACGAGTCTGTGCCAACTAAATAATCACTGCTCGTTGGTCGCACGCATTTGTTGTGACGTCACATGGCATAATACAAGCAGCAGCTCATTGACACACTCACACACATGCAGAGGCAGATGAATGCCTGCAAACAAAACGCTGACGTCAGTGAAGCGCACATTTCGCCCCTAAGGCAACTGCGGCTAAAGCCCGCATTTGTCGCAAGGCAAATACACAAAAACAAAAAAATAGATGAAGAAACATATTAGCAAAACATTACAAAAACAAAAACAGCAAAAAGCACACTCAGCATGTCATAAAAAGCCTGAATGCTTGAGTGCCTCGAGGCAGTGAAATGGCTGGTGTAAAAGTTGTTCAAATGTGTCACCGACAATGCGCTTGACATACGCCAAATATACAATACAAAAACAAAAGAAATACAATAGAAAAAAACCCTTTTGACACCAAAATGTCGGTATGCTAATGTTGTATGCAAGAATTGTGCTAAGCGTCTGCAAAAAAAAATGAGGACAAATGGTAAGTGGAAATTACAAGTGAAAGAAATGGCCACAAAAGTAGCACAACGCCTACTTTCTTTTTGAGTAACTCATACTTCCTCTTTAAAGTGGTTAAAACCTCCTCTAACCAAGTTTAAACATTTTACGCTTACATAAACAACTATGCAGATCCTATATTATTTATCTCCAACGACGACTTAAGGCTCATGAAGCTTTTAAGCTTATTAAACTAGGTCTATTTGATTGTAGGAAATCGTTTTTTAAACTTATCTAAGCTAGGTCATGCAATTACTTTTGTAATCCTATCAACGTAAGAGCTACTTAACAATTTTTTTTGTCTTTAGACTATTTCCGGACCCTCACTACTCCTCTTCAACGCTTTACTGCAGTTCGCAATCGGTTCACATCCATACGCCAAGTATTTCAACAGCCGGACAATTGAGATGCCACTGACTCTTTCAAATAGTCCACTATCCAATTCCAAAAGATCGAAATTCCTCCATAAATAGCCTCGTTCTTTCGATTACCATAAGGCAACTTAACCTTTTGCTTTGTCAGAGCTCTCAACTTGATTTTTTGTCCCTCGGCGGATTTTTCCTGTAATGTTTTCCGATTATTTTAGCACTACTTTTTCTGAAAAAGAGGAGATTTTACAGACCATATCTAAAATCAACATTTGGCCAATTATTTAATAAGACCTTTCAATGATCCCAATCCGAGGAGCCTAACAGAATCAGTAATACTTCTTTCGAATTGGGGCTCGTCAGAATCAAAAGTGTACAGAATACCTTAGAGCCTCTTAAGTCGGATTATCTTCAAGCAATGGAGTAGAACTTTTTAGAAATGAGACTTCTCCGCTTTAGTAGGCAGTGTGATGAGTTGTAGAAAATAATTCTAGTACGTTTGTAGTCATAACGGTTAACATATATATTTTATTTAAAAAAATATGCACAAATCTATTTTCGTGGATCCAATACACATTCAGTCATTATCATCATTAGATAACGAATTCGGTAAAGTAGACAGTCGCTTTTCCGAACTTTCATTCTCTAAAGGAGAACGCAGAGATGAACTCGAAGAGGAACTATGTGACGACGTGGTCCAAGCTTGGCGACGCTGCCGCCGATTACGACGAACCAAACTAAGAACCGAGCCCACGACTGGAGCGCCCATGGAAAGTGAGCTGCGGCGTAACTCGGCTGTGTGGGGGACTGTAACAGCAATTAGTTTATATATTTAAAAATATTAAAATAAACTGCTATATAACTACCCGAGGCCGGTCTTGGAGACTGTACGGAAACGTTGCCTTCACTCGCTGCTGGCTGTGGAGCTGTTGCAGGCCTATGTATCGCAGCCGGCACATTCGCCAACGATGACGCATTCGATTCGGCACGTGAGGAGTCAGAGTATAACTCACTCGAAAGCGATGAAACCTCGCCATCCGTTGAAGAGTTCCCGCCAGCTGGTTCAATGATCACTGTGGCTTGTGCGACCACTGTTTCGCCCAGCGCTATGCCATCCAATATACGCAATGTGGGAACGCTGCGTTGCAATGTGGTGCGATAAAGTGGATTGTGTATAACGGAATTACCTTGCAACTCTAATTCCAGCAAATTAGGACAAAGCCCTAAGAAAGTGAGTAAACCCAAATCACTGATGCGATTATTACGCACGCTTAGACGCTGCAATAACACCAAATCGGTGAGTGGGTCCACACGCTGTATCATATTGCCATCAGCGATGATTACACGTATCGCCGGCAGTCCACTAGTGCCGTCAAAACTATTCAGTCCACAATTACTCACATTCAAATAGGTCAAGTGTAGCAGACCATAACCAAGATCACGCAACGAGCAGAGCACACTGCCGCTCAAGTCTAGATGCTGTAGGCGTGGCAGGAAGAGCGGCAAGCTTGCCAGACTAATGCTATATGAAATGACACGCAGACGTACAGTGTCTACATTATGCAAATCATTGCGACCGGTGACGCGACGCTGTATATGTGACATTAAAACAGTGGAAATTACACAAACTTTGCTTGGCAATAATGACGACTCACCAGTAATTCATCTAACGACGGCTCGGGCAGTTGTGGTGGCAAATTTATTGGTAATATCTGCACGACCGGCACCACTGGCCAATAGTTCTCCTCCTCCAATGCCGCTATTTCACGGTCAAACTCGCTGAAACGTTGCAATGGACGTACACGTACCGGATTCGGACTCAGCGCAGGCAGTCGTCGTGTAGGCGCTAGCGGTGTTTGCTGACCCGCTGGCTGTAGGCGTATTTCTACAGCGCCAGCTGGCAGCGGCTGCATAGGTTCGCCCACTGTGGGCACATCACCAACCGCCTCAGCGGAGTAGGAATTCTCCGGTGAAGATTCATCGTAGCCAATGGGTGCCTCCAAATTGGGCATTATTATGTGTGAATATTTTGAAACCGAATCGTTGCAACATTTATGTGGCACTGAAGAATCGCAATATTGTGGGCTTATTGATCAAACTTGCGTCTGAGTGTTGGTGTTGGCAAGGACAAATGCCGAGGTTGGTGGACATTGTGAAGAAAGTAAATAAATAAAGAAGAAGCGTTTTGTTTATAAACAAAGATATGTTGTAAATAAGTTAAAAATTCAGCTATAAATATTATATTCTTATAAATAATATTATTTGATAATTAGTAAATAATTTGTAATTAATTAATTGCAAATTTAGTTCATATACATTACATTAACCGGTATATTGTTGCTTAATTAAGCAGCTTATACTTAGTATGAACACATAAATTCAATGACATATTAATGGAAAAATCGAATAAGTTAATTATAGCAGACAATACTCACATGATTTATTGAGAATTTTTCAAAAATACATGTACCCAATCACAGTAATCTCACGCATAATCTAGCAGATCTATCGAGTTTTATACACACCTTTATATATTGCTATATAAATAAGCATAATTTCGACACATTATCAGTGATATTTGACACCTTTGAATTGGTATTTCATACATTTTCGGAAATGATTTGAAGCTACCCGGTAGGAAATTGATTCACTAAAGGGCAGATATTTGAACTTTGCACTTAGCAGCACGTAAATGATGTGAAATTGAGCTAAAGAAGATATAGCCCTTAAACTTCAGCTTTCTTAATTTCATATTTACACATTTTAGCTAACATAATCGTCAATCATAATATGCAAAGTGGGCGTGATTTAAAAGATATATTACGCAATTAGTTGCTATCATAATTCACAGCTTAATAACTTTGTGACTAAAAACTTTACTGTTCAAATGAGCTACTGTACTACACTATATGTCAATATACTGTACTGTAAATAGCTACCTCTCTTTGTTTTGCGATATTAGTAACCACAGTTGCCACACCCCCTTTCTTGCTATAATAATATTTGCATAGTAAAATTCAAGCTTTATAGCACACACAATTAAAAAAGAACCATAATTGATTGATTTTAAATTCAATGTTTACCTAACACGGCAATGTGGAACTAAGCAAAATTTATCTGATGCCTGAAATACAACGCTGTCTATTTTCTACGCAGAATAATGAACAGGCATTTCTATATTATTATTGAATTCAATGCCACTTCAAACAAACAGCCCACTCAATTGTTATATTTACCAACTTATTTGACATGACTATCTAACAGTAAATAGTGTTCAAATCGTACTAGGTTAGTTCAATCTTGTATCTACATTTGATGATTAATAAATAAATCTATATTAACTGAAATGAGATATATGTGATATAAACTCAATCAAAGCTAAGTTTAATGTATGGGATATATGAGGAAAACCTCAATCAAAGCAGCGGAAATTCCAATTTTATGAAAGTAAGTATATGTAGTATAATCCAAATGAAAATTTTTTATATGTAGCATATTAGAGCTAGTACAATATATGAATCGATATGGCATATTTTCAGCATTGTACTATAGTATATCCAATACTATACTTCCATTTCATTTTGCTAGACATTTTACACATTGACTGATATATAGGATATGAAGACCGCCGGAAGTTGGAAATTCTTATATAAATATTATCAATTTTCGCTCGGAATTTATAAAGAAACCTGACAGATTGACCAATATACTCGTATATAAGGAATAAAGTCAAAGGGAAATTCGAAAATATTTTTATGAGGTATATGGAGACTGATGGAAGTATTGACCCGATTTTACCCATCTTTGCACAAGCGCATGACGTTATCACAAAAATGTTTTCCCCTTCCAGCTAGACCTCACAGATTCACTGTATCCACATATTTTTTATATGGGTCCCTGCAAAGCTATAGTCTGATTTTGGCAATTTTGGAGCGTCAGATAAAATAGTTTGAGAACACTATTTGCGCAAAGTTTTATTCCGATAACTTCATTGCTGTTTGATTTGTATACTGTAAGGTGAAATAATCAGATGAAATTAAAAATATTGTTATATGGGAAGTAGGCGTAGTACACCCATTTTCACAGTGTATGATAGAAATATTTATGTTATTTCACACACCGAATATGGTTGAAATTAGTCAAGTAGTTAGTGAGATTTAATTAATTCAGTGAGTTATCGCATTTTCACAGTCTATGAACAACAGCTAAAAGGACTTTTTCTCAGTAAGTTTGGTAGAGTGACAAACTAAATACTACATTTTTATCGCCAAACGAGATGTGAGCATGAGGTTAGTTCTGTAATAATTAGGCACATGTAAACCCGCAAAACAATTACATACATATAGTAGATGTGTAAGCACACATATTAAAATAGCACTGTCATTAAATACATTACAGTTAGCAGCGCTGGTATGCAAACAAGAACGCCCAGAAATGCATTAGGAAATTTTGTGGGCGTTTATAGTTGACAACCCACTACATCAAGTTATATGACTGATTTTACGCAATGTGATTAATATTTACTTTAAGCTATTAATTTTATGTAAATAAAGTACTGATTGAGTGTATTTTTGTAGAATGTCTGCTTATATACAAGTATTCGTATTAGACTTTATCATTTGCTTGCATTTTAGTGAAGACAGGAGATCTGAACTTAGGTTCTTTCTAAGGAAATACAGCTGTCCAAAATGTTTGGTAGTCACTAGAGTTGCCTTTTTTACCAATTCGAGATCGTAAACTTTTGTCACATTATCCTCTGTGGTAGCCGCTTTCAGTGCATTATGGATAACTTGTTGCCATTTACCTACCATAATACCACTCACATAGAAAACCTGATCACTATTGGCAAAAAAAACTGTAGTAGTTGATTATTCACCAGCCAAATCATGCGTCATAGACAGGAACAGGTGGTAATCACTTGGTGCCCGGACTATAAGGTATTACACTACATACTTCTACATAAGAAACTCCCAACCAAGCTTTCGGCGAGTAACTGTCGATGTGTCTGGCCTGGCGTTGCCTTGCCTGGCGTCGTCAAAGCATTAAAAAAAATACAAATATAAATTTTTTTTGTGCAAATATATTCTAAAATTTATTGCTCATTACGACGTTATAAAGAAAGATGTGATTTGTAGGTGTATAAATCTAATAGTTTGGAGAATAAAAAACTAAAATGTCCCAACTAAATAAACAACAACTACGTTAATATGAGTAACAATTTTTAAATTTGTAAAATTTGATTTACAAAAATAAATTCTTCACCAAGTGTTCAGGCGAGGACGCTGATGAGGATACCCGGCATACTCCACACACCTATTCCGACCAACACTTTTTCTACTTCCATTAATGCCAATTAGTTGATAAATCTGCACATTTTACTACTACACACCAAATATAGTTTAGCATTTACTCCGTGTAGGTGTACTGAAAGAGCGCCGCCGATGGTGCACGCACCGGCACCAATTGGCTCTGTCCGTTCGGATTGCGGAAAACCATATAATCGCGACCGTTAATCAAACGCCGTACACCACCCGCGCCGCTAGCACCTTGCAGCTGGCCATTGCCCAGCAGTACACCAGCACCGCTGCCTGCACCGGCCGCTAATGAGCCGAAATTCGATCCAACACCGACGCCGATTTGACCAGCGCGTCGCCAACGATGCAAGCTGTTTTCCTTACTCATATGGCCAGTCCCATCCTGATGCTGATGATGATTACTGCTGAAAATACTTTGATATGGTGGCGGTGGTGTAATGGTCGAACTCGAAGGTGAAGCCGTCAAACGTTGCTTGTCACTATCTGTTTCCAATTGTCGCAACCAACGCGGTGCACGCACTGACAGTCCATTTGTGGTGCGTCCGATGCCGTGACGCGCCCACTTGTTATTCTCATGACGCTGATTCAGATAGCGGAATATAAGTTCAGTGAAGAAAACAACCATAGCGGTGGCAAAGCCAGCGAACATAATGTAGTAGGTCATCATGAGATCGGTATTGCGTAGCTGGCGCTCGGTTCCAGCCAAATTCTGTGGACATATTTCAGCATTTGGTAGATTTTTAGTCGACAAGTATTTAATGATGCCGGATTCCACGAGGTTAAGTAGTCTGAAATGTAATTGATAAGTGATAAGCTCGGAATGTATATAGGAAAAGCTGAAGAAATGGAATGCACCTAGATGATATAAATCAGCAAAGCTAACTTTAATACAATTTTTTGAACCTCAAGATAGCTATGTGAACTGTACTATTTCTAAGCTTCACAAAAGAGACTGTTATCGCTATAATCGGTTCATGGTTTGGAAGGCTAATTGCGCAAGGAAATCAAAACAAGTGTCCTGTGTCCAAAAAACAGTCGAAACGTGGACTTCACCGGAAAACCTGCTACAAAGAGAGCGAAGACTGTCCTATAGGCTGAATGACGACTGTCATATTCTAAGATTCGCGATGTTGTCATCTATATCGACTACCTAGAGTTCGGTTACAGGGCTCTCCTATGCGAAAATATTTGACCGATTTGCTGACGAATTGAAGAAAAGACTACCACATTTGCCGAGAAAATGTGGTCTTAAAATCCGTAGTTACGACGACGAACTTCAGCCTCATCCACAGGATTTTACAGATTTGATCTCGTGTTACTACTTCTAGTTCCCATAGTTACTCGACCAGTAGAAATTTAAGTCAAATGAGATGGTTATCCGGCACTAAAGCTTACTACAAAGAACTTCAAAATATGGTATTACTTTTCAGACAGATTATGGAAGTTGGAACATCGCTAATTTTAACTTTGCTTTTGTAGAATTTTTTCCATTCAATTTAATATAAAAAATTTCCAACTTTAACATTTCTTAAAATAATTTTACAGTGCAACTTACTTGGGATCGAAAAGCTCACTCAAATTCGAGCCCAACGGATAGGCGAATGAACGATTCTTCTTCAAAAACGGCTCCTTAGCCATAGCGAAAGGACAATGCAGCTTCTCATCATTCATGCTAATGGTTTTACGATAGCGATAGTCTGCGTAGAGCACATGATTAATTGCCGGGCGGTCACGTACGAATACATAACCATCTTTTTCAACGAAATTCTGCAAATTAAAAGTATCGTTCGAGCTGCTAGAGAATACGGCGTGATTGTTGCGTATCATATTTGTTAGCATGGACAGGCTCTCGTTGGTCTAGATGGGGGTTAAAAGTTGAAAAATGAATAAAAAAATTTAGATCTACATATGTTTATATATAATATAAATATGTATACATAAATATTTAAGTTTATATGACTTAATTAGGCCTTTGGTATGAAAATTGTGTATTATTTTAATTGCGCTAAACGCAACAATTTATAAATTTTTGCTTTTGTATTTAAATTTTTGCTTATAAAAAATGTTTTTAATTGCATACACACACATACACACTTACATTCCTTATCGCATATTCCACGCCGCCACCGCGTGCCGAAACAAAGTGTATATTCTTATATAGTATATCGCTAACGGTATTATAGGGTAAAGTAAATCTAGATAGCGTGAGAAAAGCTGTTAAATTTGCGGTGTAGAATGAAGTCAATATCGTAATGAATATCCACCAGGTGGCAAAGAGTAGACGTGTTGAATCTGCGGGCAAGAAATATGAAAAAATATTTTTTTTTTCATACGATATTTGTGTTTGCTGGTATATATTTATATTTGCCAAATACAACAATAATTAATTTGTGTGTAAATGTGATAAAATATATTCAATTTTTCTATTGCTCTCCATGCGCGTGTAAATATTTGCTGCTAACAAATTGTTAATTTTACATGCACACACGCGTGCATATTCAAGTTCGATTTTTTACTCGATCCGATATCAGTAAAATGATGTATATGTTTTGTAATAGTTATTAAATCTCTTGAGTGTACACTCAATCAACAAAGTGTGCGTAGCAACGGCTTTTACATACATATATCATAATGCGCCAGGGCGTATGAGTAACTTTTCATATGTTTTTTTTTGACAGTCAAGATTTTAAAGCCGGAAGGCGCCCGGGAATATTTATAACAAAAGTAATAACTTGGAAGAATTCCATGGAACTATTTGGCGAATATTTTGCCGTTATAACAACAACACATCATCTTGTATATAGGTATATGATATTAATATATTTGCTACAAACTTTTTGGAAAACTCAATATACCCTTCTCAGAGTATAAAAAAGATAATATTCATCTATTTAAGCTGTTGCATATAAATTCCTTAGGTTTTTGCCACCTCCGAGTGGTACGCGGAATTAAAACAATTCGTTCTCAACTATAATACCTACTTAACTGTCAACGTTTCACTTAATAAAAAAAAATTTTAAATAACATGAAATATCCACATTTACCGGCAATCGGCGACAGTGTACTGCCCTGTTTCATTAATGCACCATACACAAACCATGCACAGTGACCCAACGAGTATGGCTTCTGCTCCTTATCACCAGTCAAACGATTACGTAATATAATGAGCATATAAATAATAGGCCCAACCGCCAACAATGAAACGAAAATTAAAATCCAAACCCAAAAATCAAATGGTGCCATTAGACCCGAACCAGTGGCCGATTCACGTGGACGTTGCATCACCATAATCCATTCACCCTCGTCCAAAGTGGTTGTCGAGTAGAAAACGAAGCTGTGTTGCTCGCTGAGCGTGGGTATAAAAGCTGCGGCCAAGTCGGCTTCCTGCAAAGAGCCAAACCTTGTTTCTCAGGTTGATGTAATTAAAAAGTGAACAAAATTAATCATATAATTAGTTCTACGAGACAAAACAGTAAATCAAAGTCTTGCAATGGGCTGAGCAGCGACAATTACACATACTTATTTATCATATATGCATACCAACAGTAAGACGTCGTAACACTTAACAAGACCTCGCTAACTTCCCCATTTACTCACCGAGTTATTCAGCATTTTTATAAGGCTCTTCTCATAATCCTCTCTCGAACCAATGATGTTATCTTCCGGCACCACTACTTCGTAGGTGAATTGCATTTGCTCCTGCAAGAAGTCGATCAACTCAAACGCTACACCCTTGCCCACTCTCGTATCATTCTCCATAACCGTATAGCTAAGCGGATAATCCTCCAGCGTAGCAATCACCAATTTTCTACCCTTTATCCATTCTTTTAATTTATCAATTTTCTTTTTCTTAGCGATGATTGTTTTAACCGTTTCGAGTGGTGCATCATCCAAGGATGGTTCAACTATCGCCAAATCCGGCGATATAGTAACAACGGTATTATTTTCATCCAACTCTATTAGTCCCTCGGATAAGCGTATATCTGTTAGATTTCCACATGAGAGACACAGCGCCGCCGAAAGTATTAACTCGAAGCCGGTCATTGCAAGAGTGCGGAATTTTAATTAAAATGTATGGTTTTTTTTTATATTTTTTTACTTAATATTGAAGTTAATAAACACGGTGATTTTTTATATTTACACATAGCGGCGAGGTTTAGCAGTCAACAGACATGCAGTTGCTTTTCAAGATCTGTTGAAATCTGAAAGTGTGAAGTGAGCCGTTTTAAGAGAAATGTTTTACTTTACTGAATTACAGACTCGCTTTAAATACTAAAAAAATACACAATTTCTTGACACTAAAAGTTTTTTCCAAAAGAAAATTAATTTTTCATTAATATTATTTAATTAAATTTTTTAATTTTTTTTTCTATTTGCAGATTTAGTCCAAAAATGCCAAAAAAAAATTTTAAGTTAACTGATTTCATTAAAAAAATATATTTTATAAAACAATATTTATTTCAACATATTTTCTCCCTAAAAAACTGCTACTTTTTTAAATTTTTTTATTCGACGAGATATCATTACGAAATTCGACTCGAATTATTGTTAAAGGCAACAATACAATCTCTAAATAAATTTTTCAGATCGGACGACTATAGCATATAGTTGTCATACAAAATGAATGACCGAAATCAACATATGCTCTATTTATACCCTTTTATGCCATAAAAAAATGTGAAGGTTATTAGAGCTTTAGTACAGTGCAGTGTTTTTGTAATATTTTATGTTTTTTTTAAGCAATGGAAAACATTTTTTTTAACTTCTTAATTATTTATATTTTAATTAAATATTTTATATTTTTAACATTTGTTCAAAGCACTTTTGTTTTAATAAATCAATATAAAATTTGTATATAAAATAATTTTTTACTTTGTTTTTTTACTAAAATATAATTTTTATAAAATTTTGTATATATTTTTAAATTATTATGTTTTTAATATAGTAACTATATATTTATATTTTTCTTTTTGCAAATTTTTTAGCACTTTTTTATTAAATCTTTAAAAGTTACTTTATATTTTTTCACATTTTTTTGACATTTTTTTTCAAATAATTTTTTTTTTTTATGAAATTATTTTTTATATATTCCTAGTCACATTCTAAACAAATCACGCTCGCACTCACTTGAAGAATAACGATTATTTCACATCGAAAAATGCATGCCGTCGCTGTGTTTCATGCAACAATTTCACTATTAAAATTCTATTAGCAAGTTTTTCCCGCTTTTCCAACCGTTTTTCACCAATGCACGACATTAACTGTTCTATTGATCTGTGGATGAAATCTAAAAAAATAATTTCACTATTGTCATAAAAAATTATAATTCACTAGGGCACTAACACAAATCAAATGTCAGTCAATACAAAGGCAAACACAAATTATAATAATAATTTTATGCATACGCACACATACAAGTATACTAAGTCCTTTTTATGTATGTATAGATATACGAGAAGTCAACACAAACTGAGCAATAAGCCTACACACACATAAACACATACATACTCATGCGAATGCTTACAATTAAAGCGCCGTTACCGTACAAAAATGGCGCGTGTTTGTGTGTGTGTGTGTGTAAACGTAGCACACATGCCATGCAGCCATGGAAGACAAAGTATGCAGGCAGGTGTGTTGGTGTACAATGTAAACAATATTACGCGGTCAGTGAAAGTACACCAAATGCAACGAAACACACTATAATGAGTTCCCATGCTGATTATGTGTGTGTACTCCTGCACAATAATGCATTAATAACAACAAAAGCAAACAAAATGGATATAATAAACACATATACAAATATAACAACACACACACACACAAACACAGGCAAACATATACACATTTACAGCAAGAGCCACACAACCACGGCTAAACTATTTATACGCGCGCTAAAAAGTGCTGAGCTACTCAGCTGCGATGTTGGCCAGCTCGTGCTGCGGTCACCACTTTCCGTTATCTAAGCCACATTTTGAAACAATTTATTTAGTTGGCATGATGTGGCGGATTTCTGCGCGTGAGTTGGTGTGAGAAGCGGTGACATTGAATATTTGTTTGTACACAAGTCGGGCATTGTTTAGCTAATAATTTGGAATGTAACATTTTTATTAGCCACTCGTTCAGCGGCAAAGTTGTTAAGGAAAACATAAAAATTGCCTGTAAGCATATGTAATGAGCACCAGCGAGTGAGTAAGTGAGTGAGTGCTTTGTTGACAATTTGACAGTGGAACATGAATAATGCTTTATTAGGCGATAATTAATGATGGCCGATTATAGAAAGTTTTTTTTTTCGTCGCTGTCATGATTTTTATCGCTTTCCGTGTAGTAATTGCGGCGATTTTTTATTTTTTTGTTTTTTTTTGGAAACTACTCAGCTGTTTTTTGAGGTACGCGAACACTCAAAATCAGTTTGGGAGAATGCAATAAAGCGAATTAGAGGTTAAGGGTGGGCAGCAGTTTGTTAGTAAAGCGGTTAGTATATGCTAAAGCTTACAAAAATGGCCTAACTTTAAAAATTAAAAGGCAAAATGAAATGATTAGGTTTTGCCACTTTCAGGCTTTGTCCAAACATGTATTGGAGTGAATAAAAATTCATAGTTTTTGAAAATTTTTTATAAAAACTGTCGCATTGTCTTAAACAATAATCCATTCCGAATTTCGTTAAAATAAATTGTCAAATAAAAAAGCTTTGCATATAAGATTTTGATTTTGTTTGATCAGTTTGTATAACAGCTATATGCTAGAGTGATCCGATCAGAACAAGATATACGGAAATTGTAGCATTGTGTTATAAAATAAACCATGCCAAATTTCGTTAAGATATACTGTCAAATGAAAAAAGTTTTCCATACAAGGTCTATAACTATATATGTTTATATATATTTATATATATGTATATATGTAATGTCTAATTGTAATAACATCTCTAAGTAATATTAGCCAAGAAAAAAAACGAAAACCCCTTCACTTTAATAACCACTTTTTCATGCAAATACAATGTTTATATGTACTTTAAATGCTTTACATTATGATTTCCCTCAGCCCCTGCTGTAAATTGCATTTAAATGTCATTTAAGCGACATAAATATTTAAAATTTCCTGACTTCGAGGCGAACGGGTGAGTAATTGAACGACACTTTGAACCCAACTTCCCTGCTTGGCTATTTGCCATGCAATTAGTGGTAAATGCACACATAAACACATACATAAGTACTATACCTACATGTACAATACATATAGCTATGTATAATGAACTATGTTGATAGGTATTGGCGCGCTTCAACGTAACAGTTGATGAACTTGCTGTGGTCAACTGTTGACTTAAAACTTTATTTTTTAAGATATTAGTGTAAAAATTATTTGAGCGCGTATTCGCACATTTTATAATGTTTATGAGAGTTTTGGTGCTTTTATTATATAGTCACATTACATTTGTAGACTGGTATACTGTGTCACCGCGATTAATATCTACAGAAGCAGTGACTTTCAAGAAATTCTCTCTACAAAGAGGCTAGTGGAAACACGGTTTATGCTTGAAATTATCGCTTTGCCGTATAGTCGATATTGAGAAGCCTTTTAGAGAATTATGCAGCTTAAAAGATATATAAAAACTCTGGACAGGATAACTTGCGTTGATATACTTGTAAGTTCAAAAAGTGAGCAATTGAAAAAAAGTAACAGCAAGTTTGCTGTTGCTACCGATTCAAAGCGCCTCGAGTGATGCATTGTCGTTTGAGCATGCTTGACAATTTACTATCAATGTTTTATGGAGAGCTGATTATAAGACGCCGCTGAGAGCCCTGATATTAAAGCAAACAGAGGCAATGCGTCAAATATTAAACAAAAAATCAGCAAAATTTCATTTCAAATTTAATTTCTGTATTCGTTTTTCAACTATTGCTTAAGCGAACTCAAAAATAAAAATCATATCTCACTAATATTTTTTAATATTTACATAAAAGAGTTATATCCATTGCAAGGCAGAAAAAACGCGTTTTTCTTGTGAATAAGTTTTTTTTTTTTTGTTGAATATATTAAATAAATAAACACAAAAATGTGCATTTACAGAATTTAATGTATGTACTTTAATAATCAATTGTTCAGTTTGAAAATTTTAAATGCCCTTGAAACCGCACCCGATCACCTGGAAGACCTTAAAAAAAAAGGTGTCTGGCGGTGAAAAAATTATTCTGCTCAAAATTATACAAAAACCAAAAACACCATTATAACTATAGTTTAATACAGGCAATGATTTAAAAACTAGTAAAAAAATTTATTTTTGACAAAATGACGGCCGCAAAAAAAATCGTTTTTTGTGAAAAAATGTACAACTTAGAATGGCTTCAAAAATCGAAATTGTTACAAAATTTGTATTACTTCGAACATTATTTTTGGCGGTACAAATTCAAATTTTCAGATAATGTTTTCATTAATATACGCAATTATATATATATATATATATAACGTAACGGTATATGTATGTGTATATATATTTATGTATAATGTAATTACGTATATGTACTGAAAACTGTTAATGAAGCAACGCTTATAATTCGCGCTGTATTATATGGGTTAAGTAAACAAATTCGTGTGGTGCTACGTGGCGTATACGTAACATTCAATACAACAGCACTACCTTCTCAATGTAAATGCATATAAAATTCCCTTGTGCTTAATGAGTGCCAAAGGAGTTAATTTAGAATTATAACTTTATTTTTTCGTTATTATTACCACATATATGTACTTGTATGTAGAATGGTGTAACATTTACAGTATACATACATAAATATAGGTAATTTCATATATTAGTCCACTATTATTCTACTAAAAAAATCAAATTAAAACACTGCTTGCATTAAAGCCAAATTAAAAACGTTTAAATACATATGGTTAAATCTATCACTATGCAGCGGCGCGGTGTCAGCTTTTTAATCTCGCATGAAATATCAAATCAAGTTCAAGTTTAATGGTTCCACGCCGTCTCTTGCGGCTTTAACATACTATTACCAATATGTATGTATGTACTTACATATCTAAATGCATATACACACATATAATTACACAAATATTATTTGCATATATATTGTTAGGTATGTTTATAGGCACGTTTTAACAATTTGTCCATATATTTCGAGTGTGGAACTTGTCATGCTGTATTTTTTTTTTTGTTATTTGGCTTAAGGTTAACAAAATAAATGTTAACAAACTCAGTCAGACATAACTATGTGATCATGTTACTCGAAAATTTTACATCATTACATTTTTAGTTTTTTATTTACTGTTTTTGCTTATTTTCATAGACATTTTCCAGTAGAAAGTGTTGTTAACAAATCCCAAGGCGCTACCGTTATATAAATAGTCAGCCTGTTAATCATAGAATCTTAATTTAGATGACATTGGTTTATATATACCTATGTGTAATAATCATAATACAGAAAATTACAAATAACCTTATATGATTTTCATTTTAGAATATTTTTGAGTTTTAGTTTATTTAAGGTTAGGTTAGGGCTTTAGGAAGCAGTCACGCGCTACTCATAATGTCTCTCAATGTATAAAAGCTAAATTGTTGACATATTAATAACGATTTATGGCATCCATAAAGAATTTTGCTCAAGTGTAGGCTATGACACAGAAGATTCTCAAATTTAAAACTCGCAGAAGCTAATTTTGCCGTAGTTATCAACAAAGAACAAATAGAATCCATATTTGTACTTACCTTCTATCTTGACTGAGAACTCGAATTTCGTAAAGCCAACGTGATAATCAAGATTTTGAAGATGTAAGTCATCACATACAAAAATTTCTAAGCTCAGCTTTATTTTCAGTACAAATTATAAAGTCAAAGCAAGAGCTAACTATTTAAACATGGTGTCTGCTGGCTCTAATTGATTTCAAAATATAATTTGTAAGCTCAGCTCAACAATTAATATACGAGGCTTGATATATGCTATTTTTTCTGTTAACTTTGCTAGAGCTCAAAATAATTTCAAGTCTTGATTTCCTTTCAATCTAGCTCTTTTTATTCCCTGCTCGGCTGTTTGTATATACGCGAATTAGTCTCTCAGTTTTTAAGATATCATTCTAAAGTTTGTAAGCGCCTTTTTTCCCCAAGAGACTGCTCATTTGTTGGAAACATCGATATTGGATCATTATAGCATATAGCTGCCATACAAACTGAACGACCTAAATCAAGATAAAGATCTTTTTATAGATTTTATACTATAAGAAATGCATATGTGTCGGCTATTATAGCTTCGGTTCAGCCGCAATTAACGTTTCTCTTGACTAAACCTCATATAAAGTGCAGTAACACTTTTTTATTTTAATATTGAGGTTTCGTGCACATTCTGGCTTGAACATACTGCCTTTGTGAAGGTAAAGTTAAGATATGGTAAACTAGTTCCAAGAACAGCAGGCCATAACTTGACAGTGCTTTATTCCTCCGTTTCCTAAAACGTTACTTTGTCTCACTCTCTTGACTCTAATCCCTAACACTCATCACATCAACTGGCTTCATTATTGCTTTACAAACCAGCTCCACCGCATTTAACTGTTTTATAACAGCAATTCCTTGAAACGAAAGTGACACATGCACATACATACATCTCCACCTATATTCCTAGTAATAACTCTTCAACTGTTCATTCTAAGTCATTTCTATATAACTATATATTAGTATAGGTATATAACTGCACATACATAAGTATACGCTAATTCTGCACAGCAATAAAAACAAACATGATTATGTGCACAATTGTGTAATTATAGCATTAATTATTTATTAGCGAAATTATAATCTCTTTTAATCAAATTCCATTTGTATTTAAGTATAGGTGTTGTCTATTGTGTATGTGTGTGTAGTATATAATTTTTTTAATTTGAATTGCTTAGCCATTGAGGAACAATTATGGAATTACAATTGTTCCAAGCATTGACATGCATAAGTGTAAGTATGTATGTTGGTGTGTGTATGTGTTGTTCAAGTTCTGTGCATATTTAAGTGTGTCGGTATGTCTTTATATATACTATATATGTACAATAAAATGGCGCTAATGGCGCATCAATTATTCAATTTTTAGAAATTATTTCATTTCAATAATTAGAATTACATACAAAATCGTAGAATTAGACTTAGAATATAAGAATTTCAAAATGTAAATACAAACATGTACAGATATACATATCCACATGTACATATACATATGTGTATTTACTCAGTGCTGTTGTTAGCTGAATTTTATTTATAATATAATATTTGGTCTCAATTATAAATATCAAACTTCAAGTTAAATGGTTTTTATAAAAAAAAAGGCTTGGAAATCAAATTTTTTTAGTCTGTCATAACTACTTTTTTAGGTTAAGTTAGTTAATAATCAGCTTTAAGATTATAAAATTATCCATGTTTTATTTTTGTTAATATTATATAATGAATTTGCTTTTGAAAGATTGCGTGCTTTTTGTTTGCCGAAAAAACTATGATTTTGATATTAAATTTTTATAATTCTTTTTTACAAAGAAAATTCGTTACATTTTACAAACAATATTCGTTAGAATTTTACAACAATTAATTAATTTCTGTAAAAAGTTTTAATTTTTCATTCAATTCCATTAAAAGTAAGCTCCATGGAAGTTATGATGACTCAGGGTGAAAGTTCAAAGCTTTTATAGCAAGCTTTTGTTACAAAAATTTTCATTTAAGCTTTAACAAATGAATTTAATAAATTTATACACCGTTAAAAGAAGACTTAGCTAGGTAAGGCATTTATTTTTATTGTATAGAAGCTCAAAGCTTTCAATATTGGAATTCTCCAAAAAGTTTGCTACTTTTTAACACAAAAAATCTTTGTGTGCACACCTTAAGTTTCAGCGTTTTTCCTTTTCAGGGTGAAACTTCAAAATTTACTAGCAAGCTTTTGTTAGTAACATTAAAAACAAAGATGACATATTAAAAAAAAGTATTAAATTTTTACTTTTTCAAAATTTGCACAAAAAAACTTGTAATTGCTGGTAGTAACCTTTATATTTTTTAGTACAATATAAAAGCTCAAAGCTCTGAATATCAGAATACTGTACAAAGGTTAAGCTTTAGCAAATCGTAAGAGTTTTCGTAAAATTCTCAAAATCAGCAATGATATAAAACCGGTTTGGTTGCAGAGCTTTTAAGAAACTCAAAGCTTATTCAAAAAAGCGAAAATAAAGCCAATTGTCAAGCATGTCCATTTACCTAATTAAATTGCAGTTTTCATAAAAAATGTAAATTAGTATGAAAGCTCATAGCTAAAGCTTTTTTAAATAAGCTTTTTATAGAAAAGTACTTAGCAACTATTTAAGATGTAAGCGTTGGAAGTTTCTGATCGAGCTTTTGTCAGCGGAGCTCTGTTTTAATTCTAAAACACAAATTTCTGTCCGATTTTTTATAAATCTGAAAAATTTAGTAAAGACTTTGCATTCAAAAGCTTTCAATTACTTATTGCCATACGTAAATGTATACGTTAAATTTTTACATTTAACTTAAATTTCTGAACGTTTACATTTAACTTCAATATCTCAGAATGTTTTAAGAGCTTTAGCATTGCATTGTGAAAATCTTGCCATAATTTAGTTATAGTAAATAAGGCCAGACAAGTTTTTGAATTAGTTACTATTATTGCTACAAATAAATATGGGAATTTTAAGGTTTGTAGACTTCATAGCTTTGAAAAAAGCTCAACGAACTTCATTGTTTTGATAAAAGCTCAAAGAATGTCACTAACATGTTATATGCAAATTTTGCAAGTATTTTCAACACATTTTCTTAAAATTCAAAGCAGCAAGCAGTAGTATATTTTGTATATATTCTCAGAAGCTTTCAACTAGCAGAGTTTTTAGACCATGCTTTGCTTACAGCTAGCAGTCAACGGGCATAATTTTATACTTCAATATTCCTTCATTACAAAGTGCTTATCACTGAACTAAACTAGTGTCTACGCATATATAAATAATGGATGAAGGGTGCGCGCTGCCTTATCAGTCAGCAGTTCATCTATAAAACAAAATAATTTTGCATTACATTTCAATAATTTATAACGTTATATATGTTTATATGTATATATAAAATTGTATGCAAAAGTGCAAAATATATATAGGATTTCTTTTTGGAATAGTAATCTTATAATAAAAAAAAACGTAAGATAAAGAGACTAGCAGTGCTAATTGAAGCGTAGCCATATGGCCTAATTTCTCAAGTACTCCACAAAACATTAGTTGTATTTTCCATTTACAGTAATCTCCTGCGCTTAGTTTCCATCTAAAGCGAGATTGAGACCACCGCCGGCATCCTTAGACGGCGTTATTTTCTCCAGTTTCAGTATGAGCGCAGTTATGACACAAGCGCCTGCCTCTTTCGTAAACCACGTCATGTCTTTGAGTGACGCGCTCGACGCTGAGCCGCCACTAATGCTGCCTGCGCCACCGCTGCTGCTACTGCTCTGTTCGAGCGTCAAACCGCTGCTCGACTCATGCGGATGCAATAAGTCCGCCGATGAACGACGCTCCAATAAGCTAAGCGCGGCCGCTGCAGCGCTCGATGAGGCTGCCACCGCGGCGTTCACATTCATTTTGCTGCTATTTGTCAGGCAGAGCGATTGCCGACGCACGTACACTTCGAAAGCGGTGCCGATGCGATACGAATGCGAGTTGACATTATATTTGTGTTGGCTATTCATCGACACAATGCCGGCAGCGTTCGGTGAGAAGTGCAATTCCAGACGCGTGCCAGGCTCATCCTTCTGATTGCTGAGGCTCGTGTGCGATTCGCAACTCGACTCCAGCGGTAGTGGTTGGCCGTGATCGAGTATGGCGCGTATTTTGTCGACACGTGTCATGTAGTAGAGTGGCAACCACTCGCCAGTGTCGAGCGAATGTTGCGCGGCGGCTGTGTTGACCGTTTGCTGATTCAACTTGAAATAGACCCAACCGTGTAGCTTTTCCGAGGTGAATGCATTGCAGTGCGCACAAAAGCATATGGGATCGCTTAGCGGTTGGAAAAAGGATTGTGGCAAAACGAGTGATGCACGAAATTGTTGCACCAACTTCAGATATTCACAATCCTTACGTTCGATGGAGGGTATCGACTGTAGTGAATCAAATTGTGTGGACGTTGATGTCGCAGAGAGTGGACCGTAATTTGCCGATAATGGTTGACTCAATTGCTGATAGCGTAAGCGTAACAAATCATGTTGTTGTTGCAATAGCAACAAGTGATCCAAATTATCATTGTCCTCAAGATCATCGTTATCGTCGTCATCATCATCGTCATCGTCGTCCACATCAACTTCTGCTTCGGCGCGCTCCTCAAGCGCATTCTCGTGTGCACCAACATTACCCACAATTCCCTCCGAGTTAGCAGCGCTCACGCCAGCGCCAGCAGCAGCAGCAGCTGTAGCGCTGGCAGTTAAATTGCTATCCGTTTCGTGCGCACGCTCATTAGCTGTCATATTATCGGCTACCGTCGTATTCGCATTTGCGCCATGTATACCAACGCTGCTGACTAACTGTTCCAAAGCATCCAAATTGTTTGAGGATCGCTGATCGCTGAGTAAATTCTCTTTGGAACTGCAGCGTCGCAGTTCGCTCTGCAGTGACATACCGCCAACAGCGCCGGCCTCTTCGAGCGCCTCGTAGTCTTTATTCGTATCATGGACGTAAGAAGCAGTGGTTGTTGTAGTAGTAGCGCCGACATTTATACTTGAGGCAGCTGCATTGGGTGCGGCGGATGTTGAAGCCGCTATAGTGTCAACAATAGCGCCACCTGGCGTTGTGGAGTTAGCCGACGCATTCATTGCGTTTTGGAAACGTTGCGTACTCTGACTGCGTTGTATGTTGAGATTGGTATTGTGTTGTAGTTGTAACGACTCACGTAGACAGCTGGAAATGAGAGAGGAAATTAATTTTATATAAAGCTGTATTTATAAACGTAATAAGAGTGTAGTGAGAATGAGAGATTATAGCTGAGTTGATTTAACTATGTTCGCTCAGTTTTTGTGATAACGATCTGAAAGTTTGCACACGTTCTTTTTTGTACAAGCATCTGCTCATTTATCAATATCGAAAACCGAGCAAAATCAAGTTCTTGTATGAAAATTTTTTTATTTAACAATTTTTTTATTTAACAATAATTTTTATACCCTTTTATGTTAAAAGAAAGACACCTGTAAAGCGTCTTATAGCTTTGGTGCTTAATACTTAACAACATAACTCAACAATAACACATTTACATACCACGAAGTGTTAGCCGCATTCGACTCAACAGCGCGATTTTGCTCCAATGTACGATTTTTAATAGAAATATTCAACAATAAATTCTCCGACACGCTCTCCATCACCGAACGATTCCTGTTGAGTATCAAGAAATATACTTAGAACTTATAAAAAATTTAAAAATATTTGTTTTAACTTACATTGCAGCATTGCTGGTACCGCTGCCCGCAGCTACAGCGCCCACCGCGCCTACACTGGTTTGCATTGCCTGCTGCTGTTGTTGCGACAGCTGTTCCGTTTCCTTTTCATGCATCTCCAAATCGGCTTTTTCACATTGTGGCACACCACCATCTTGCTCCTGCAAATTGTCATATTCCAACGCTGCTGCCTCCTCAATGATCGGCGTACTATTGCGGCCCACATCATTGCTGGTAATTAGCGATATTTTCTCACATTTTCCGTAGAGATCGAAGACAGGGTAGACGTGATTGGGTAAACCGGCTGCCAAGTCCTCCAAATTAATGGAACCAACCATTATTACTGCGAGAGAAGCTTGATAAAAAGAAAAGACATGCAAATATAGGCCACGCACTCACCCAACATGCCGACATTGGAAAGTGTCATGGTGATGACTGTGCCGGGCTGTATTTGTTCTAGCGCTTCACCATACTTCGAGGCTATTTTTTGGCCATTTATATTGATGTAATCGTGGGTGGCCACCCAGCACGGACGCTTACAATGCAAAATTGAGATCGGCAATTGTGACACGCTTGTGGGTTGCGGGCACGCTGCGACCACACCGACGCCTATCGTGCCCTTCCATTTCGGATTCACAGCGTCCACTTTGATCTGTAGGTTAAAAGATTAATTACATATTTGATAAAGAAAAAATATTTAAAAAAAAACTGTATATGTATATATATATAAAAAATACAATATAAAAAAATAAATAAAAAAATAATAAATAATAAAAAAAAATTAAAAAAAAAAAAAATAAATAAAAAAAATATATATATATAAAAAATGTAAAAAAATAATTATATACGTATATTAAAAAAAATATATAAAAAAAAATATATAAAAAAAAATATATAAAAAAAAATATATAAAAAAAAATATAAAAAAATAATTATATATATTAAAAAAATTTTTTTAAAAAATATTAAAACCAAAAAAATTAAAAAATATATATATAAAAAAATATATATATAAAAACATATATAAAAAAATGTATATACAAAAAATAAATAAAAAAATATATAAAAAAAATATATAAACAAAAAAAAAATTTTTTTTAAATATAAAAAAAATATATTATATACAACAATTTTTTTTTTTAAATAAAAAAAAGACAATAAAAAAACTGTTGTCCACTCACACTAATGCTTTCGCCCTTGCATAAAGGTTTGCCGACAAATACGACGCCTTGATTGTAAGACTGCACGCGCATCGCCGAACGATGTTCATCCAACAGACGCACATGTTTGCCATGTAGCTCGGAGAACTCGTAAGTTTGCATCTCCGAATCGATTGATTCCAGCATCGAGTCTTGCTTATTGAGCGGATCAACACCAAAGTCGAGCGAGTCTTGTAGGCGTAAACTACACGGACGCAGCGGTGAGGTTGGACCCTGTGAAGAGATCACTTGCACAGCCATGGTCGAACCTTGTAGCTCAACAACGACGTAGACATCCTACGGGAAACGGGAAGAAATGTACTATTAAATATGTATACAGTAATAATATATGCAGCACTGTTACGCACATTGGGCACATTCTGAAACTGTATATTCATGTCCTCCGAGTTCAGCAGTATGCGCAGCGTGCGCGCCGGCGTCAACTCGAGCGCAACACGATCGCCGACACGCAGCCACTCTAAAGAAGCCATTGAACGCTGCAGCAGCGTCGAATTGTGACGCACCTCATTGCCGGATACATACCAAACATTGGCAGGAATGCGTTTAATACTTAACGGTATATTTTTGCGCACATAATCGTCGGAGAGATTTAAGTCGGTAACGCCGATATTGAGACAACCTTTGAAAAGCAACAATATTTTAAAGTTAAAAAAAAAGTGTAGACTACAACAGTTACGAACCTGCAAAAAGCGGATTGTGCGAGATCAGTTTGATTTCGAATGGCGCACCCACACTAAGCGGATGCTCGGAGAAAACCACACAACGCGAGAGTGCCGCCGAAGCGCCGGTAATACGTGAAGCCACCGTCCAGCTTTGCGATAATGTCACATTACCCGATATGCAGGTCCAACGATGCTTCAACTCCGACGTTGCCGGCTGTATAACCGATGTAGCTTGACAGCTTTGCGAATTCTCGCTGGTCGCATACGGTGCACGTATATCGGGCTGCGACTGTGTGAGCGTCACTTGCGCACACTGCCCATACAAATCGATTACTGCCCACACATTGGGCATGCGACACTCACAAGCTGGTCCCTGATCGACGCCATCGATGAAGAAATGCACATAATCGCCATTACGCATTACACCAACACGTGTGCCCTCGCCCAAGCTATCCAAATCGATGAGCACATTGGAGCGTATAGTTTTACGATTATGAAAGATCATCGAACCACAGAGTATTATCATATCGTTGGCATCCAAGTCGGTTGCATTGGCAGCAAGTTGTATATCTTCGGGGCGTGTACCCGTCACACCGATCTCTATGTTGCCCGACCAGTGACGCACCATGGTATCGAGCGCAACCTCGAAGAGTTCACGCTGACGTAGTGGACGATTACTGAAGACTATGGCATCATTGAATTCGGCCAGCGAATTAGGACGGGAAGCGGTGAGACCGCCATTTGAGATGCCAGCATTTTTGCCTAAAGCAAAAAAAAAATTGTAACAATATAAACCATCACAACAGCGAACTCGATTAATTCATTTAACACACCATGTATGGTATGGAAGCGCAAGGGTGGCTCACTGTAAAGCGTTGTATTGGAGATGGTTGAATTTCCCGTATCCGGACTGCCACATTCAGATGTGTCTATTATGCTAGCCTGTGCCGCCTGTCCATAGAGATCGATCACACCAAAGACGCGTTCGGGCACATTGGTCGCTGCCGGTCCCTGATCCACGCCATTCACCCAGAAATGTAAGGTGCCATCGTCCTTGCGCACGACACCAACACGATCGCCCACCTGCAAACGGTCAAGATTCTGACCATATTGCTCGATGACCGTAATGCCGTTGTGCATAACACCATTACCAGTCATCATCCAAGTGCCCGAGCTGTAAGGTTACCAATCAATTAGGTTTTAGTTTTATTTTTGAAAATATTTTAGAATCTGTGTTATTCTGGCGTTTCCTACCGCACATTGGTCATGGTAAACGGAAAGTCCAACTCTTCAGCGCTGTGCGTGGTCACACCCATCTCTACGGAGCCAGCCCATTTTGTAACGACACGTTCGAGACGCACTTGGAATAGCTCGTTTGGACGTAAGGGACGACGTGTTAGCACAACCCCATTATTGAAGTCATCAGATGCGCTAGAAATATGAGATATAAAAATATTATGATATTATATGAGACAATATAAAATTATTTAAATGTAAATATTAAATTAATATAATTAAAAATAAATTAAAATATATTAAATATTTAAAAAAAAAAATATTTAGTCTAATAAAAAACAATGTATAGAAAGAATTACAAAAACAAATTATGGGAAGAATTTAAACAAAAATTAAAATTAAAAAACAAGTAAAATATTAAAAAATAAGTAAAAAAAAAATCTAAAAATTTAAAACAAAAAATTAATAAATAAATAAAAACTAAAAAATTAAAAAATTAATAAAAAATAATAATTAAAAAAAAAAAAAAAATTAAAAAAAAAATTTAGAAAAAAAATTTTAAAAATATAAAAAATTAAAATAACAAACTAAAAATAAATAAAAATTAAATTTATGAAAAATTGAAAAACAAAAAACAATTATGGAAATTAAAAAAGAGTTAAGAAAAAGGAATTTAAAAAAAAGTATGGAAAAAATTAACAATAAATTTTAAAATTAAAATTAAAAAAAATATATATTAGAAATAATAAAAACTACTATAATTTATGGTAAAAATAACAAAATAATTTATGAAAATAATAAAAAAGAAACCTAGTTAAAACGTTAAGAAAAAAATTATGAAAAAATTAGAAAAAAATGTATGTAAAATTGAAAAAATAATTTATGATAAAAATAACAAAATAATTTATGAAAAAAAAATCCATGGAAAAATTAAGAAAAAAACATGATGAGAAAATTAAAAAAATAAAAAAAATGTATGAAATTAAAAAAAAATTATGAAACAAATTAATTTGAAAAAAAACTTTTTAAAAAGTAAAAAAAAAAAATTTTTAATTATGGAAAATATTAAAAAACAAGATTATGGAAAGAATTAAAAAAAAAACAAATCATGGAAATTTTAATTTTTTGTGGAATCAAGTAAAAAAAAAAAGTTTATGAAAAAAAGTATGGAAAAAATTAAAATAAAAGACTGAAACAATTACAAAAAAACTCGAAAAAAACTTATAACATATTTTAATACATTAATTGAATAAATTAATTTTGACTAAATAATATATATTGTAAAAAATTGTATAAAAAGCATTTTTCTATTAAAATAAATATTTTAATATTTGTTGTATCAAAAAAATTTTATAAACTAAACTGTCTTTCAAGCGTCAAACTCACTTCGGGCGCAGCGCTGTGCGTCCACTATGTGTGACCGTAGCATGCGAACCACAGATCGGATGGAAGGTTAGACGATCGTCATTACGCTGCGTATTGGTGCCAGATAACGTTGAGTCGCCCAACGCTGCCGCTGCAGCAGCAACCGCTGAATTGACTTCACCTTCGGGGCTAAGCAAACTCAATACAGGTGTCGGTGTAGCCGAATTCGCCGTGATAAATACAGTTGCTGCACCGATACTATCGATTGCCGTATTGCCGCTGTTTAAACCCGAAGCGGCTGTGAGTATAAGATTATTGCGTCGTGTTACTAGATTTTGTTGTTCACGCTCATCACGATCCACAATCGTCACCTTGGTAGTCATGCCGTATAGATCTATGACACCCCAAAGCGTTTGAGCAACACGTGTTGCAGCCACGCCCTGATCCTGACCATTTATATAGTAATGTAGATTTCCGTTAGATTTGCGCATCATACCCACACGATCGCCTGCAAAATGCGCGCATAAAATGGAAATTGCAACATTTATGGATACAATTTACCTTCACGAAGTTCATCTAAATTGAATTCGCCGTACTGGCGCCGTGTGCCCTTGCCATTTGTCAGTATGCCACAGCCGGACATCATTATAGTGCCGCTGCGCATATTCGTCATTGTGGCTGGAAAGTGCAGCACCGATGGATTGTGCGTAGTCACACCAACTTCAATAGAGCCGGACCATTTGTCCACCAATTTATCAATGCGTATCTCAAACAGCTCATTATCCTTTAACGGCCGATGTGTCATCACCACACCATTGTTGAACTCATCTAACGGTCGACGGCGTTCAGCGCTGCGACAATGGGGTGAAAGCTTTACAAGCGAGCCGCAACGTGTGTGAAAACGTAATCTATCCGTATCATAAAAGTCACCAACGTTTTGCAACGTTGACGTGTTATTCGCAATCACTGCCGCAGCCGAGGAAGATAACGGTAAAGCGCTATGCAAGCCAGTTTGCGAAATGGCGGAAATCGCAGCGGCGCCTGCGCTGCCTAGACTTGCAAGTGCGGCATTAATATCTGAATTCGTGCTCATGGTTGAAACTAGACCACCGCCACTGTTATTATTGTTGGCTGTACAGGCGTTGTTTGTGGTCGGCGATGCAGCTGAAACTACAGTCACATCCACACTCATCGGTACGTCGATATTTTGCACAACTTGATGTGCTTGCTGGACAGATGTTTCGGCGTAGTCCTACGTAAAAGAAAAAAATTTTGTATAAAAAAAAAAATAAAAAAAAAACTTAGATGCCCAAATGCAAATTTTATACACTCACCCCTGAGCCGCCCACATCCGTAGGGCAGAGTGATACTTGCACACAACGGCCGTACAAATCAACCAATGCCCACAATGTCTTGGGCATATTACGCGCCGCCACACCTTGTGGCTCACCATTAACATAAAATACTAATTCATTGCTGGAAGTGCGCATTACGCCAACACGATCGCGTTCGCCCAATGTCTCCAAGTCAGTGCCATAGAATTCTATTAGGCAAACGCCGTCTTTGCGCACATCGATGCCGGACATTACCCATGTGCCGTTACGCATTGCCGTAGCACAGGAAGGCAGTTCCAACTTCTCTGGCGATTCGGATGTCACACCAATTTCAATACTGCCACCCCAAGAATGGTTCTAAATTAAAAAATGGACATAGTAACTTTAATTTGTACTATCCACTTGCACTGCTGCATACCAACCTTTTTCTCAATAACCACTTCGAAGAGTACATCGTCTGTCAGCGGTTCGGCGCTAAAAACCAGCGCATGACTAAAATCACGCACAGAACGCGCTGCCGTGCGGTTGCCATTGGAAAGCGTTATACGGCGTCCACAACGATGATGGAATGTTTGGAGTGCTTGTAAATTTATGGCATTAGAGCCTGCCGTTGCACCGATACCGCCGCTGCCGGACCCGCATAACCCAACCGCACCTCCACCGCCTGTAGCCATTAAATTCGCACACAAAACCAACAACTATTAAAAAAAAAACTTTCTTATCTGAGGTATTGCTACTCCCAGACAATAATTCTATTAGTTAGCAGAATTCTCGGCAAATGTACTGCCTTTGTTGTCTGCCTAGGCACTGAAAGAATCGATCGTTTTCGCCGCACTATTACCAGTCACTGACTCCGCCCGTTTCGCACAACACCCGCAAACCAATGTAAATGGTTGCTATTCTTTAAATTTGCAATGAAAATTTCTGTGAATTTTTCTTTATCGTATATATACAATTTAAAATTTTAATTTTCTTTCAATTTTCACGAAAAGTGAAAATCTTATCTATTCTACTTTTTTCTCTTCATTCACAGGCGCAGCAATATTAAAACAAACTGCCGTTGACATAAAGATGCGAAAATAAGAAAATGAAATGTCTGATAAGAAAACAAATATTTACGAATGATAAGTGTAAAACAACGCAAAATGCGAATTTGGAATAATAACAAAAACTGCTAATTTAGGGAGTAAAAAGCAAATAAAACACAGGTACTGCCAGGTTGTAAAAAATTTAAAAGTATTTTAAAAATTGTATTTAATTTGAGTTTGAGTAAATAATAAATTAATTTAAATGCACTGCTATCGACTTTGCTGTTATCAATAATTAACTCAATATGCAAATAGAAAGTGCGTATATGTTAAATTTGTTGCAGTTAATTTTGTGTACGAGTTGTTTCTGCATAATTGTGAATTGCAAGATGAGTAAAATCAGCTGTGTTTTGTTTATATTGCTATTGTTGCAAAGACAATTGCCGATAGGTTGTTTTTTTATTTCTTTTTTATATTAAACTATAATGTTGGTTATAAATATAAACTTATTCATAACCAGTAAACAGAAATTGCAATTTAACATTGTTTAGCGAAATAAAATTATTACTCAGCGCTGCATCAATGTTAGATCGTCGAATAGCAGCCATGACAGTGGGGCCTACGTAACCAGAAAACATCGTTTTTTAATACAACCAGGAACTTGCAACTCGCTGTCATTCCTCAAAATGGACGAAGGTTTTCTGTAACTTATAATAGACAAAATTTTCTCCGCTAACTACTTACTGCGCGCGTTCAGTGTAACAAACTTATTTAAAACTAACTATTTACTTTCGTTTAATTGTATGGTTATAAAATGTGAAGGATTTATTCGACAACAGAATTACGCGTTCTTTGAACGGTGAAGTTTTACATTTGGGCAAGGAGTGTCACATCTTATCATTAGTTATATATATATATATATTTTTTTTTTTTTTCAGAGAATATATCTTACAATCGTAGAATTTGACAGTCAGCATTCCATTTACTAGTTATACAATATTATTGCATATGTTTGAATATCATCATTAAAGATTTATTTAGGTTTTAGAACGTACATATTTTTTATAGTATACTTATGTATGATGTTCATCATTGCAATTATTTTATACCTCTGTATCTGAGCTTTCCGTTTACTTAATTTGAATATTACAATTTATAGTTACTACATATTTGATATTAGATTTAGTTTTCTTTTAATATTTTTATATGAAGAGGAATTCTAATGTTAAGTTATAAACTGTTCTGAATGGATTGAGGAAAACTATGTATGTCAATACATATTGGCATAAATTAAAAGCGTTGCTATTATATAATGCGTTCTCCAGTATGTATATTTATTGTATATGTATGTATATATATTACTTACTATGCCTTATTTTCACTTAAAATATGTTCAATTTTCAATGCAACGGCTTTTGCGACATGAATTGAAAGTCATTTAATAATTCACTATAGTAAGTTGCATCATTAGAGTTTTCAGAATTTTAGGTTAAGTTTAAGAAAATTGCTGCATCTTTAAATTCAAACTATATCGCATTTTAATATATTATTAATTATGTTTTTATTTAATATGTTACATTACTCAACGCTTACTTTGTATGAAATTGCATTATTTAAATTATTTTATGTTACGATAATTTGAATAAAGGATAGAGAAAATTAAAACAATTGTTAGCACAGGAAATTTGTTTGAAATTTTTTTAATACAACTGCAAACGATGCGGTTTTAGCGTTGCATTGCAAAAAATAGTTTCTTACATATGTATGTTAGTGATTTTGAAAAATCTACAAGTTTAGCTTAAAGTATGTATGTATATATAATATTTCAGTTAAATTTTTTTTGTATTAAAAACGATTTTCTTTAAATTCATCCGTTTTTTGTTTTGCATGGTTTAGAAACTAATGTTTGTATATTACTTTGAGCCAATTTTCGTTTTCACTTGTGCATTTAGATCTTGATAAAATTTTGCATTGCCACATTTTTTGGTTAATTTTTTTTTTTTAATTTATTTTAAATGGTGTATACATATTAAAACCGGTATTCATTTGAATGCATATTACATAGAAAATTTACATACATACATATAGACGAAATTAATTAATTAATAAATAATTCGTTGGTACGTTAACACCAGCTTTCTATTTTCTAATAATGCAGAAAATCGAAATCTTAAACACATAAAACATTACAAATTTTTACGTATGTAATATGTACGCATATGAGTATAAAAATATAATAGCTCTAGAACAAAACAGTACATGTGAATATGTATGCATGTATATGATGAATACCAAAATAAATTGTATATAAACATACTTAAAATACAAGCTATGTATTGCTGTGTCGAAATTAAACTAAGTAAAAATACGTGTATACAAGTAGTAGTATATGAACAAAAAAAAGTCAATGTTTTCAAAACTGAATTGCATTATGTTAAAACACACTTGTGTATTTTGTTGAAAGTAACAGTTAAATAGTTAAAAATTGTGTAAACATGTCTCAAGGGTAACAGACAAATGTAGTGCTGTTGCAACTGTATTGAGTTGTGATAACTGTACACGCACCGGTAATCAAGAGTAACCAGCTTGTCATTTGGCGGTACATTGAAAACAGCGTGATAACTAGCGTGAACTAACTTTTGTAAAAGGTGGTAATATATTTCTTTAACATAAACTATTTTTGTCGTCCATTTGACGTCATTATGCATAGTTTAGTAAATGTAGTGTTTCAAAGCGTTGCATTTGCATTCTACAATTAAAAATTTTTAGTTGTTATTGATAGCGTTACGTTTATGGCATTTTGTTGCTATTTGTTCTGTCAGTTAATTTCAGTTATTTGGCTTTAATCTTTGTTATTACTCTTTACATGTATTATTTTTGTTAAGTTTTTGTTTAATATTTTTTATTGTTACTTTTTTGACAAAAACACTTAATTGTTGCTAAACTAATCTGCACACTTCTAATTATATCATTTATTTATTGTATATGTATGCATGTTTGTTTATTTATTATTTCATTTACAAAAAAAACGTATTACGGTAAATTTAGATTATTGCTTTTTCGAAGTCAAATTTTTTCATTTAGATTTCTTTATGTTTAGCAAAAGTATAAGTGTGCTTTTCTTTTTTCATTTGTCGTTTCATGTTTTATTATAAATATATACACTATATAAGTGCTAAATTGTTCCTGAATTTTGTTGCCACTTATGCGCTGCATAGAAATTTCTTGCGACCTTTTTAAAAAAAAAAAAACAAAATCTCACACAATTTTATCTTTTGCCATTTCTACCTTCAACTCACACTCCGCAGCAAAAAATTATTTCTTTGAATGTGAGATTACGATGTCTCACCTTTACCACTGTCATCAGCCGATTCATCCGCGGTGCCATTATCTTTACGCTTCGTATTTGTGTTGTCTTCATCAAGATCATAGTCATCGTCTTCATCATCATCGTCAGTGGGTAAATCATCTTCAGTTTCCAAATCATAATCATCGTCAAAGAAATTTGTGTCTAGCGTCGGTTCTGTAGACGTTTTACGTGCCGGCTTAAGGCAATAATCCTCAAGTGTCATCGGCACAACAATACCCTCTCTTATAGCATCCGCATTGGCTGCCTGTGCCTGTTTGCGTATAATGCTTGGGTATTCGTTATCCTTTCCCTAAAAAATATAAAATTAGTTAGCACTTCTGGTTAAAGCAAATAAAAATAAAAATAAAAACTATTTTACCTGCGAATCACGCCACCTCCGGTACATAACCGATGCATCAACATTAGCTGGCGAGTATGTGTTCGGCTCATTTAGCAGCGATATAACCGACAGCAATATGGTGCGCACATTTTGCGTTGGATTCCATCGTTCACAAGGCAGTTCACCACTTTGAGGATCATCTACCGGTGGATGTAATATGGATATACAGAGATCTCCATTTTCATAAACATTTGGATGCCAAACTTTTGTCAGGAAGCGTATAGATGGCGGTGAATATGGGTAATCTTGTGGAAATTTCATGTGCGCTTTGAAATATCCTCCCTGATAAAGTGTATCCGGCGGTCCAAATATTGCCACCTCCCATTCAAAGAGATTATCTTCATTTAGCAATTTTACACGGAAACCTTCAACTGGCTCTTCTTGTAGTGATTTGTATTCAAGCGCTAATGCACGTACCGCCGGTCTACTGGGTGTACTAGAGCTAGCTGCGTTTAAGATATGCGAAGTCATCGTCGTTGCGTTAGACGATCTCGTCGGATTCGATGTGGATGCTGTATTTGCGGACATTTTGGGCAGTTGATAAGGTTTCGCTTATTTATTCAGTTTAAAGTTGAAATTTGATTGATTTGTTTGCTACAAAAAAAAATTAAAACAAATTATTACAAATATATATATTGTTTCAGTATACGAAGTTTTACTGATATAAATGCAAACATTAATTAAATTTTTATTAACAATTGCGTTTGAGGGTCAATGCTCCATGCCTATCGTTTATTAGCCGTCATCAGTGATACGTCAAGGTGAGCATGTATCGTTATTGGGGCTAGGCACAAAGCAGTTGATTAAGACACATACAATCCCTTGAATCGATGCAATTTTAGCACATAAATTTACTCTTCGTCGTCAAGTTTCTTGCCCCAAAGTTGCATATATTGTTCTGTTTAAATAATTCTGTTATTATCTAGGCGCTCCAGTAACGGCAAAGGTAAAATAAGCGGCCTTAAACAACAAAAAATAAAACAAATCACATACATCCACATGCACTATGCAATCTGGAAGAATTATTTTTTTACACGACTTGTTTGCACCTCAATAGTTTTACAATCGACATGATATATACTAATGTATATTTTATATCGTTATCGTAGTTATTAACTGAAGAAAAAACTCACTTCTAAAGACTTTTCTGAATACGCTATTTATGAAAATAATCTTCTTAACTATAAGTTACTGTATTTTCGTGTGAGCAATGAACAATGATTTTTTTTCGCCGATTTCACTTTGCCAAACTCAGACATGGAGTTGACAGTGTTGCCATGCCATCGTTTATATTCACTTGGCTGCACTGTCAAAAAGGTGTTGTATAATGTTATTTATCCAACTTATTTTTCCCACGTAAAGAACGAAACATTTTATTTTTATCTATGATTTTATTTATACGAAAAAACAAGAACGATAGCTATACTCCATAAATGTTCCATTTTTAATAATAAATACTATTAAGGTTAGAGGTGTTAATTTAATTTATTAATGTTCCACTCAAAGAGCGCATTGATATAGACATTCATTAAAAAATAACTAATAAAGACATACAAATAAAAATCACTTTTCCAATTAAAATAGGATTTTAAACTAGGTATGGAGTAAAATTATATATAGATATAAGCATTTCAAGAAGCAATGCGTACAGCATTGAAAATTGCAATTATTTTACATTGCATCAAAATGGAAACGATGAGCTTCTTGCAGTTTTTCTTGTTTGTCTTCACGTTTTTCTTTAATATACAAAACCAGTATAATAAGCACTATGACCAGGCATGTGCCGCCCAATGCCACCACACTCATTAAAATCAATTTACTGGGTGTAACGAAAAGCTGAGCTTTCCAATGCTGTGGTTCACTCACTGGCTTCGGTACAACAATAATCTGTGAGTTCGGTATAACTTGTGTCCAAGTACGTGATTTGCTGCCCAAACCAACTGTTAGCGAGTCTACGAAATTGGGTGTACGTCCAAGACCGAAAATAGTGTATGGCAGTTGCAGAGCGAAATAAGCTGATTGTGGAAGTTGAACACTTGAACCTTGTTGTTGGTCGCCCTCTTGTGTGGTGGTAGAGTAGGTAATACGTGGACCAGGTAAATTCGTGCCATAAGTTCGTCGCTTCCTACCTAATGGTGTTGTTTGTGTAGGATTTTTACTATTTATAAGTCCCGTAAGAACAATAACTTTAACAAAATTTGCATCATAGTCCAGTGTGTTACGGAATGCTAGTGGTCGATACTTTCCTTGTTTAGTTTTTTCAATGAGTATAACATCGAGAACACCTTTAAAATAGGAAAATTATTGTTATATGTGCATTTAGGCATTTTAAATTATATACCATCTTGATAGAAATCGTAAAATGCGCCGGCGACAGTTTCATTCCCCATTGGACTTAAACCATTCCATTTAACTTCAAAAGTACGTTTTAGGGGTTTGTTACACATTTTGCATGGCACATTCTCTAAAAGAAAAGTTTGCATACGCTTTGGTCCGCTAATAGTATGAAGTGTTATAATTAAATCGGGATAACCATCCATATTAAAGTCTCCGCTACGTGCTGTGATGGTTTTAAGGTAAACATCTGATTCAATTGAAGGAACAAAGCCCCATAGTACACCTTGTGGATCCTTAAAGTTTACATGAACATCACGGAAGCTTTTACCATCGTACACCAAAACTGTTGAGTTTGAGCAGTCTGTTTGTATGCAAACGGGTAATATAATATTTTCGACGCCCTCTAACTCAAAATCAGCAAATACCGCTTGACCAATCATGAAATTTGATGAACCAATGATATCAATATCAATGCTGTGATTATAACTAAAATCCTCCTTTTCTTCAATACGACCGTACCACACCTCATAGTTTTTTTCTGTTTGTACTATAAGGTCAGCTGTGAAGTCACCGTTAAAATCTAAATAGGCATTGGCATTAGGTATACGTATAGATGCGGTAGTTTGTTCAGAACCGCTTGGTGGTGCTTGTGTACGTTTTTCTGGAGCTTTTCGTTGAGGTTGAAATATCCAGAATGCTCGCTCACCATTTTTATCCAATCCGAACAGATCGATGATCATATCACGATTAAAGTCCAATGCCAAAGGCTCACCTTGGGTGATTAAAATTGGATTTCCAACATTGGAGCAATTAATACCATCTGGACCGCCCCAATTGACATGTATATTATAAATATTTTTCACCGCATTTCGTTTTGGTCGTAGCGTTACAAGTACATCCATTAAAGCATCACCATCGAAATCTCCTGGTACTACACTAGTGATTTCATACCCATCGAAATTACAATAGGGACCATGTCGTAAGAGAGGTTCCGTATAAGCACCTTTAAAAGAAATATATAAATTATAATAAATTAATGTACAATAAATATATGTATGAAGATGAAATACCATATAGAATTTCTAGGGTACTCATTTGATCTCTTATTAAAAAGACATCAGTTAACTCGTCAGAGTTGAAATCCCCAAATGCTGCAACAATGCCTTCCTTTACATCGCCAAATACTTGCTGCGTGATATCACTGCATCTGGACAATGTAATAAACGTTAGCAATATTGCAGCTTTTACACTCTTTTCGGTATAATACTGCATTGTTTACTATTTTTTGTGTTAAACTTTCAGTATTATTAGTAAAATCTCATTGTCTGCTAATATCGATTTACAATGATTGAAATCGAGAAAATCGTTATTTTCACTTTCACCTAATTAAAATTGCTCTCGCTTATTTTGCACTACGCACGGTTTTTGCTTCTTTCTTATTATTTCTTATTGTATTTCTTTTATTTACTTAAATTAATATACTTATTAATTATGAAAAATTCGGAGAATAGTGAGTCAGAAGATAATATAAGCCAAACAAAGTAGAATTTGTCAGCTGTCTGATTGGGCAGAGTTGCTTTTCTATTGGTTAAAATTTAACTTTTCTTTCAATTTTTTAAAAATTAGGATTAAAAATATATAGATATAGATTAGCTTATATCAGAGAATGTAAAAATTAGGATTAAAAATATGTAGATATAGATTAACTTATATGTTGACGATTATTATTATGGAAACCCGTAAATGTGTATACGGATTATGGAACAAACCACATTAATTTCATGTATAACATCTCATAAGGTTGAGTAGAGTATGCGACTACACAATCTACGGAAATTTCGTTCGTATATATAGAGAAAATTTACATTCTCTGCCCTTATTATATTTTACATTCTTTGTCTCTTATATATCGGTTTTGTTTTGACCACGTCGTATATAACTTGGCAGCACAACGGCCTTCTCATCTGTCATTGTTTTTTATTCTTTTTAACATCATTATTCTCACTGCCCAACAATTACGGTCAAAATTTGCCAACACATACCATTTTGTACGTGTAAATTGTAAATTTTTCCAGGGAAAAGTGCAAATAAATATTTAAAATGTTGCCGAAACTTAAAATATCTGTATTTCTGTTGAAGGTAAGTAGTTTGCAACGAACGATGATGTGTTTAACTGATGCCTTTGAAGCTTATGAAGTATGACTTTTTTTAATTACCACAGCGTCTCGAGCGCATCAAACAGCAATGCAGCGGCTGCCTCTTTGGAGTTCTATATGGAGAAGGCACATTGTTACTTATGGCATTTAATGTTGAGTCCACTATTGGACATCTGAATTACGAACAAATTCAATATAAATTTCCTGCAGAACTAGATTTGTGCGGATTGGTAAAATTCGGCGACTGCACCGATGCTGAGGCACATTTAAATGAAATCTTAAAGGACGTAGATATTACAGATAACCCAATATTATTACAGTGCGAGTTGGGCACACTTGTAGGAATGCGTGCATGTGTTTTTATACACAGTAAATTGGAAGAGGTGCCTTATGAAATTATGGAAGCAGAACAATTGTATCGTGATTTTTGTTTCACAAAACTAAAATGTAGTCTGGAGCTTTATACACCACAAACAGTAGAGGTAGTGGGATAATGATTACTATTGTTGATATTTTATTTATAATAATAATTTATTTTTAGGCGGTACGAAAAGAAATGCATGCGTTACGTAAATTGCTCTCCGGCGGCAGTTTAGCTTTTTGTTTACAATCTACTAAAATATTTGTAACAAGCGCCGGGGCACAAGGTCAGGGCATAACAAATGAATCGCTAATTAACAATGTTTTAAATGCCGTGAGTAAAGCTATAAGCAGTGCAGATGAGAATCATGAGTATGTCGAAAAAGGTAGCAAAAAGAAAGTGCAAAGTGCGAGTGTGTCATTAGCGAATGTATTTGGAGCACTAGGTTGCGCTTATGATATATTACGAATTAATGTGCTACGGTGTAAAACACGAGAACGCAATGCAATAGAGAGTACGGGTGGCAGTAATCAAACGGCACCGCCCGCAGTTGCAATGTGTGTAAAACGTGAAGAAGAAAAAGTATGTATGCCATTAGAGGTAGAAGCGATGGCGATGCTTTGCAAAAGCACCAAAGTAAGTCGATTGTACGACATACTTATCGAAAGCATATGCCGCTCATTGCGACTATTCGAACAAAGCATGGTAGAGCGTTTAGACAATTCCACTGAAACACCACAGCTGCTTAGGCCTTCTGGCTACCACTTTTTTCCTCAGGTCTGTGATACGAATACATAAATATTTTCATGAAGTTCCAAATCAACTGTAAATTTTTTATATATAATATTTTTCAGGAGTTTGGACATTTCTTGTCGTGTTCGTACTTGGACGGAGTATCGGATGATGAAACTAGTGTACAGGATAAACGTAAGAAATTACATCGGCATTTTGGATTACCGGTCACACGACCATATTTTCGACGTGCCAACCACTGTCTCTTCTATGATGAGCTTAGCAAACCAGCACCGTTGGTGAACACACATGTGGGTTTGCGACCTAGTGGCATTGCCGACGGTAGACAATATCTTGTGCAGGGAAATTACTATTACTATCATTATTTGCAACAACAAATGCAAGATAAAGGTTGGGGATGTGCGTATCGATCATTGCAGACGATTTGTTCATGGTTTCTGCTGCAAGGATATACAGAAAAACCAGTACCAACTCATCACGAAATACAAAAACATTTAGTAAATATTGGCGATAAGCAAGCCAATTTCGTTGGATCCACACAATGGATAGGTTCTACGGAAGTCAGCATGTGTCTTCAAGGCTTTCTTAACGTTGACTCAAGAATACAGCACGTTACTTCTGGCGCCGAAGTAGCTAATCTTGCTTCTGATTTGGCCATGCATTTTCAAACACAAGGTACACCCATTATGATCGGAGGTGGCGTATTGGCACACACCATAATCGGCATCGACTACTGCTCGCAAACGGGGAAAGTTAAGTTTCTGATATTAGATCCGCATTATACGGGCGCAGACGATTTACACATGATACAGACGAAGGGTTGGTGTGGTTGGAAGGGTGGTGATTTTTGGGAAAAAAAGAGCTACTACAATCTTTGTATGCCACAGCGACCGATTATATTTTAATGATACCAGTGCGATGTTTGCGTATGTTTTCAAAAGTCAATGTTTACTCATTTTTTACGCGTAAAGATTTGTTTCCAGGCATAGTTTGTTACCATTTGCATTTTTATTTTTATTTTTTGTTTGTTTTTGTTTTTGCACATCTAAAATTAGCAATTTATATGTTTGGCAATATGTCTTATTTTTTTATAATAGAAAAAATATTCAAACAAGCCAGTACGAGCAGCATTTGTAATATTAAGCACACATGTACGTACTTTTATTAAAAATTATTTACTATACATACAAAAACTTTACAAGCTCTTGTCAGTTACTGAATGTAGGGCATGTTATTTACTTAGTTCAGCAAACAATTATCCGCCACTCTTCGAATATCGTTTCCAGAAGCGTTTTACATCATCATGCCCATTTTTGGTGACAACCATTGTGCGCGTACGCTCATTCATGTGTACCAGCACATTAATAGATTGTGCATAGTCACGTAGCGTTACAAAATCAGCTTGCGATAAAAATTGGTTATAGACCACACCTTCTGTATAGGTGAAACGATTACGCTCAAGTTCCCATAATTTTATTTGGTCCACAACGGTTGGTGGTAGTGGAGATTTTGATTTGATTGCCGACTCAGTTAATTTCATGTTCGGATGAGAATACTGTTCCAAATAGCTAACTATTTGATCTGCAGTGATACCGCCGCGTAACGCTTGGCGCACAGAGTCGCGTGTCAGTACACCGACCACTAAATTGGGGAAACGATATAGCAATTCGGTAAACAGGCCTAGAACGGCTACTTGTAGTGGCGAGTCTGTGTACGCATATACACGGTAATTTGTTTCTACCACAATATAACCGCTCTCCTGCGCTTTGTCATCCTCATTTATTACTGCTGGTACGGCTGCGTGTTTGTTAGTTACGTTTAGTGCCAGTCGAGTTGGATAGAAACGTCCCTCTTTACGTTTACGTTGAAATACAAGTCCAAATTCTCGTAAATGTTGTAGAAAGGTTAGCATTTTTGGACTCATACCTTCCGAACTGTAGTCTCTCCCTAATGTGGAGAAACTCAATTGAAATAACATTGAAAGACAATCTGGCAACGAGAGGCCACGTTCTTCGCAGGTGTCTAGGTATTGCAACATAAAGTGCCACACCTGTGATTGTGTGTCAAGTAGCAAAAATTGAAATCCTTGACGTGTAATGGTTATGCCATCTCGTTCATCGCGCTTCATCAGGTTAGCATGTAGGAGTATACGCACTGCATCCGGACTGATACCCTCACTGTCTTGCGCCTTGTTGGAACTGCCAGTGCCCACCATATAATGAAGGACACAACGCCAACGCGCCATGGCGTAAGAATCTAGAAAGGCTATATCTCGTGGTTTTGAATCTTTCTCTAGCGTATGTGACATTGACCATGGTTTACCCCCACCTAGTAAAGCTATTTTCAAATTCTTTTTAAAAGTCGGACAAAGTTCCCAGGCTGATAAGCCACCAGGTATAGCTGTAACTCGCCAAACGTTGAGTTCTGTAAGGCATGCTGTAGATGCTGCCTGCTCTCTGTAAAATTAATACGTAATTAAATAACCGGAAAGGAGCTCAGTTACAAACTTTGCGTAATGTTGTGATCCCCAAGATGCGACCACGGCTTGTGGCACTGGCTGTTCCACAAAAAGTATACGTATTACAAATTGTCGTGAGATTTCTGGAAGTTCTCTGTATACGGCTAAACAAATTGTTGGATAATTATACAATTTCTCCAATGTTTCTGCTGTTCTCGTGCGCAAATATTCCTGCAGATCCATACACTGTAAATTGGCCGGCTTTGGTATAAGCGCGTAGGTGGATGTGGTGGGACCAGAACGACCAGCTTTTGTATCTGACATTTTGATAAAATTTGTATCTTTTTTCTTATTTATCAAATAGGAGCCACAATTTAGCCGGCTAATTTGTATTTTGTGCCCAATAAACAACTATTGCTTTAAAGCAGTGGATATATTAATGCAAGTTCTTTCCATTATTTCTATTCACAATGACAGAAAAAATTATTGAAGTCTGCATATTCGACACTATATATTTTAATAATATACCAATAATATATCATGTTATAAAATAATATCAGGTTTTAATTTTTTATTTGTGTTAGTACCTAAACTATATTTTTATAATTTTAACAATTTTTTTTCTTTTTATCTTACCATATTTCTAATTATACTGTTCACAATAGTAAACGAAAGTGTTCAAAACTTTTGACATTTGTTGTCGGGCGCGCTTAATTTTGATTCGGCTTTGTTTTTGAATAACATTAAGAATTGTTATGAATATTTCATATTAAACAGTAATATGAGTGCAAGTGATGGAGTATTTAACAATTTACGACAAAAACTTGATGTTCTGGGATACACACAGTCTTTGCCCTTGGCTGGTATACCCTTAGTTGCAGCTCTTTTTGAGGATTTGGTTAAATCAACGGAAAGCCTAAGAGATGCAAAGAAAAAAATTGTCGACCTATTGGAGGTAAAGTGTGGAAAAATTTTTGTTTTTCCAAATATATCAGTAGAATACTATACCATATTTAGTTGTAGTGACTTCAGGCCGTTGCCATGGTCAACAATATATTTTGTGTAGTGCCAAAACATATGAAATCATTTGATTTTTTTCATTCTCGTCGTAGGAAAAATCTTGTTGGGAATTAGGTGTGGAGCCATACAAGTGTGACAATTCGCGTCTATTGTCTGAATGCAATCAGCTGCATCAACAAAATTTAAAGGATCGAGAAGATTATGAGCAGCGAAATTTTGGTAAGTTTGTTAAGTTATTCTAAATCAAAAATTACCTGCTAACTTGAGTATAAATACATTTTTATGTGTCAGAATTAAGTCAAAAAATCCGTAATCTAGTTACGGACAAATATCACCTAGAAGAACAATGCCAGCAGCTACAGCAACAACTGTCTTCACTCTTAGCCAAACAGCAGAGCGTGATAACTGGGCCAAATATGAGAAATGTTAAAGACAAAGGTAAATTTTCTTTTATTCTATAAAAAACATAAAATCAAATGTGTATTTGCAGCCAAAAAGCCGTTTGTAAGTACAGTGCGTTCTGGTGAACGCATACCACCACTTTTGGAATCTGGCGGCAATTTACGTTGCACCAAATGTACCAGCCAGACTACTCGTTCGCATGGGGGACATGATGCAAACGTTGCAGTTGACAAAATGCCCAGTGTAGCGTTGAAAAATGAAATAGACAGATTGGAAGATAGGGTAAAGAATTTGACGGACCAACTCGAGTTCTATAAGCGAAAGGTATATATTTTCATTTAATGTAAATGATTTATTTAAACTCATGTATAATATCGTATTTTCTGCAAATGCATAAGATTGAATCACGTGACCGTGAAATTCGTCGTTTGAACGAGCTGCTTACTGGTGGTCGTCCGCCTGCTGCTCTAGCCAAGGACTGCTGTTTTAAAGATGTGCGCGGTATGTCTGAAGACATTGAACACTTGCAGCGGGAGAAAACTGAAAGTTTGAATAAGATACGGGAGTATCAAGAACAAATGCATGAAGCAATGGAAAGAGCGCTTTCATTGGAAACTCAAAATAAGCAACTGCAAAAAGAGCTTGCTGAACTGAAGGTCGCAGCTTTAGCAGTAGAAACGCAAGCAAATACCGAAATAGCGCAGCGTGAACAGGAATTGGAAGATTTACAAAATGAGTTAAAGAAATTGCGCAATAGACAAGAGAGAGGAGGTGATAATAGAACACAAATTGGTCGCAGGGCTGGAGGGGCTGGAGATGGTGTAAACAACACAAACGACTCGACAGCAGTTGCCACCTTAAATGCTGATAAACGTCGCCTAAATGAACGCATTAATGAACTTACACAAAGGGGTATGCATTTTTACAATCATTAAAACTTTTGTTATAATTTAAATTTTAAATGTATTTTTCAGATGTTGAGTTAAAATCTGAAAATGGGCGCTTGCTAAAGAAATTGTCAAATCTGAAAGGCAAAATACATGAGATGCAAAAAGGTAAAAAGTAATTTAACAATTAAGGAGGGGTTAAGTTCCGGTAAGGTTAATGGCTTTTTTACATTTTGCGGGTCCCTTACCCTTTTGTTTACATTTAGCGAAGTCCGCCACCTTCGTTACATTTATCTAAGTCAACAACCTTTGATTACATTTAGGGTTACTGACCACCTTGTTTACATTTTGCGAGGTTAATTACCCTTTTGTTTATATTTAGCCAAGTCGACAACCTTTTACATTTAGCCGAGTCAACAACCTTTTTTTACATTTAGCCAAATCAACAACCTTTGTTTACATTTTGTGGGATCACTGACCCCTTTGTTTACATTTT